TTTGTCTCCGTGTGCGTGTTTGTGTGTGTGTGTGTGTGTGTGTGTGTGTGTGTGTGTGTGTGTGTGTGTGGCGGATTAGTGTGCCTCTCCGGTCCCTTGGCCGTAATCAGATGGGACATTGGCTCCATGACGGCCCACAACCCCCACCGTAGCCCAGTGAGGGAGCGCACCTCCAATGTTATGCGTGTTTGACTGGCACTCATAGACCTTCGCAGTATGTTGGGAGCTCAAGCAATTATACCTGCACACATCAACCGGGAGCTCTCACCACCATTACAAATGAGCGAGGATACATTTGCGATGCCTATGCCGCGAAAATGGCTGAAGAGAACAACAAAAAAAAAAAAAAAAAAGTGAGAGTCCAGCAATGGAGACAACGATAATGCAGCTCAATAGGGCAGATAAACTTCCATTAGGTTAGTCTGAGCCCTCTGACCCTCAACTGGCCTGGCTGCTGTTAGTTTGACCCTCAACCTCTGACCCTTTGTCTTTCAGATACAACACACACGCATACACGCGTGCCTCTTGCTCTCTTTTTCCTTGACAGCCCTCATGCTCATATTAAGATCTACATGGCTGATTTCAAGGCAATTTCAGCCATAAACTCTCATTTGGAAGGGGAATTAGTTGGCCTCCGAGTCTTGTTACTGTGCTGTGCTTAACAACATTAGTCGGTTTGTGTGGCTTTTACATTAAAGCAAGGATGGATTGTACCATTCTAATCAACCGGCATTCTATTCCATTGGTCCAGGATTTATTGTTGGACATCATCATACTTTCATTGTGCTGTTGCAGATGTTTTATACGGACTGTATATTAAAAAAAAAAAAACATGTTTGCTTGTTGTTTTGGCGGCGAGGCAACTCAAAACGTCATCTTTACAAATAGCATGCAACAGGCTTAAATGCGCTTCCGATGTTGACTGGCCGGACTGAAAGATTATAATCGCCGCAATTGTATTTGCAGTGTAGTCGGCCTTTGCCAGCCTGCACTTCACACAGACAGACGGAAGAGCACCATCAGCAAAGAAAGATGAACCATAATGAACTTTTGGCAATTACACTCCATCTCGGGCCACTTATTCTACACAAAATGGCTTCATTAATGACGGTCATTGCACAAATGTCTCTGAGTGTCCTACAAAGGCGTCTCGATACATTCAAACTAACAATTTTGTCCAGAATGAAATAAAGATAAATTGTGGGTGTCTTTGAAAAAAAAAAGCTTCTCCTGCATATATGGGCGGTAGTTTCAACATATATTGAAGCAAAAACTTTTGGTTTGATTTTGTATCAGAACACAGCCTTATAATTCACACTGGCTACTATTAAAAATAAAATCTCTCCCTTCATTTTTGTTGTATTCTTCCACAATTTTATCTGATATTTAAGAATTTTACATTCTTGCCAGGAATGATAGACCATTCATTCCAACGAGGAATAACACAAACACAATAATGGATTGCAATTTGAACATTTGATAGAGCTATAAAAGAGATTACGATGAAAATAAACCGTATTAAAAAGGTGCTATATAAATCCAAACTATTATTATTATTATTATTATCATTAATACTATTATGATGATGATTAAGATGATGATGTATAATGCTTATTGATATATACAGATTAAGCCACAGCTACCCCAAATTAACAACGCTATTAACTACCAAAATCATTTGTATGCTTTTGTAATAGTTAATACGACAGTATGTGGAAGCTGTTAAACTAAAAAAAAAAAAAAAAAAAAAAAAAAAAACAATAATTTGAATGTAAAAATCTAATTATCATTGTAATAATAATTCATATTTATAGGTTTACGCACAAAAGAAAGAAAAAAAATCATGCAAAAATATTTCTTGATGTTTGGCTGGCAACCAATTCAGGGTGTGTCCTTGGGTTCAGAAGAGAATTGAAAATGTTTCAGTACAATATTTAGAATCTCATGTATGATTAATTTCTGATCTGTGAGATGGCTCAAGTTAGAATTTGAATTCCGTAGTAAATTCCTTATTTCTATAAAAAAAAAGGGAAATCATCAAGAGCTCACTGAAAATGAAAGAGTACGTGTTAAAGCACTTCAAAACGCTGGATGCTCTCCCATAAAGCACTGTAGATGCTTGTCTAACAAGACATTACCCCAAGCCCAATTTTGATCAATCCAGCATGTTATTACCAAATGTAAAGTCACTTATTGAACACTCTGCCATTATGAAAATGCTGTCTCAACACCCGGAGAAGTTGCCATATAGTTTGATTGATGGTGTATCGAGCGCGATCTCTAAATTAATACAAAGAGCACTAAAGTCACATAGGACCAGTTCCTATCAGTATTTTTTTGATGAGATGATATGGAATGATATTTTTCGATTAAAAAAAAATGTACGACTTAGATGAAAGCTTGTGGTTGTGTTTTTCTGTCTTCATACAGCCATGTATTTTATGTTTCCTTGATAAAATCAGCATTGAAATGTAATTCTCTCAAAATACGTTCTCATTACATTGAGGGAAGGAGAATATGGAAAAAGCTGTTGGAGGACTATGTGTACGTGTGTGTGTGTGTGTGTGTGTGTGTGTGTGCGTGTGTGTGTGTGTGCGTGTGAGAGAGAGAGAGAGAGAGAGAGAGAGAGAGAGAGAGAGATAAGGATAAGGACCACTTAAGTTCTTTGATCGCAAAGGCTCATCAATCTACTGTTGAAACAGTGTGTGTGCGCATGAGAAAGTCCTTCACTGATTGATTATCCGTCCATACACACAGACTACATCTGTAAACTTCCACACGTACTTGTGTGGACGTTTACTTGCAAAAAGTGTTACTCCTGATACCAAATTGTTAACCGGCCCAAAGTTTTCAAAAAGTGAACCGTAATCCAATATGCCATTCAAGAACTAGGTTGCATTCCAGAATAGTTCAGAATATTTTAATGTCCCAAGTATGTTTTGGCTCTGAATATCTAAATCTCAATTTAACACCCCACAAAGATGTACACGCTCCAAAATTTCCTCCTTCTTTGCAGCCACGCGGGGGTCATAGCAGAGCTCTGATCCAATCCATTTTGAAAGAGTTGGAGGCCCCTCAGAGAACTCATATTTTTCTCCACCTCCCCCACCTCCTCCTTGACCCAGTCTGGCATGGAAGGGTTAAGGAGGAACAGAACCTCTGAAGAGCTGCCTGCTTAACCTCTGACCTCAACGTGTAAGGAAAAAAAAAAAATCAAAGGAAGACCTATGTAACAAGTCAGTAATGTAAATAGACTTACTTTACAAAAACACATCATGTATTTTTTTTCCATCAAATGGATTAAAAAAAACAAAACAAACATCACTCCATTAGTGTTCATTTTCACTGAATACATGTACAAATGTAGACAGCCCGAGGAGAACCAGCCCCCCCCCCAACCCCCGTCCCCAAATTTCTTCACCCCACGCCCCAAAAGACTCCTCCTCTCTGTGGGCAGCAGGTTGTCAGTGAAGGGGTCCAGCTGGTGGAGACTTGAGATGCCAAACAACGTGTCAGAGATAAGACAAGGCGGAGAAGGTATGCAGAGCGACCGACCACTCTGTGGGGAGATTGATGATGAGTGCGAGGGTTGGGAGCGTCTCTCGTGCGCGTGACATAGTATACATTGTTACACAGCCAACAATACCCTGCAGTGATGAAATGTGATTGTTGGACACTTTACAAGTATACTTTTAGAAAAAAGGTTGCTGGCGCGTATCAGGACCTTATGTGCATTAACGTTGGCTCCAGACTTTCCACTCTGGAGGGCTGAATATAAATAACTTGGAGGAATGTTAATTACCTCTGTCATGTGTGTGTTTTCATGTTCGCAGGATTATCCCAAATCTAATCTACTGACGATATAACATTTTGGCCATTATCATTGTGGAAATTCCATACAAAACAGTAGACATGGCACTTTTGCCTTCATTTGCTTGGCTGTTGTGTTGTTATTGCACACACGGACATGTGCGATAAGGGATGGAAGGTGATTTCCAAGTGCTCACCTCACAGGTTTGTGAGCTCGCAAGCCAACATTATATCATCCGCCTGCAGGTCCTTATAAAATTTACTTTGTCTTCTTCCGCCATCTCTTGGACCATTAGCACGCCGCTCACGCCTGGCATTTGAAGGTAATGGTGACAAGTCGACTGTGTTCCCACTCACAACATCACAAAACGCTGCTTTGAAATATACAGCACTATCTTGCATTGTGTGAAAATACCAAAACTTAGTCTAGCCTACCCCTGCGAAGATTTACACCACACTTCTTGCCAGACTTGCACTGGACATTAAAATAGAGGAAAGACAATCAAGCGTGTACTTTTCCTTTAACGACAATGTGTACAGGGAGATAGCTGTGTCTGGGAGGCAAGTCTCTTCACAGGGGTGGGTTTAGTTCCCCCTCAGTGACAGTTTGAATGTTAGAAGGATGTCTGTCTCTATAAGTGGCCTGTGATTGACTGGCAACCGGTTCAGGTTGCAGTCAGCCTTTAAGTCAGCTGGGATAGTCACTCGCTCACCGGCAGCCTTAAACAGGTTAAGCAGGTTAAAGAGAAATGGATGGGTGGACCTTTGAGATTTTTGATTTCAAGATTGTACAGCACAGCACACGAGGCTATAAACGCAGGCAGAACAAAACTGCAACCAACTGTTATCAAAATTCTCAAAAACTTTATTCACTTTTGAATAGAAATTTGATTCCAATTAAACCGATTTTTTTTTTTCCCCCATGTACCACCACTATTTTTCACCACGTGGAAATAGAGGGTCAACCCAACGTTGGAAGAAATCTCCGCACAACTGCGTCTTGTTTCACAAGAATGACGTCAAATCAAGAGTAATAAATACTAGAAAACACCAAAAAAAAAAAAAAACACTTTTCAGCTTTCATACCGTCTCGCACGCATACACGCATTAAGGATGCAAACTCAGCACCTTCTCATGTTACTGCATATAAAACCTGGGTGGAAATGTAACAAAACTGCTACAAAAAAAGAAAATCTCAACTTTAGCTTCAATTTTGCACAGAGCCACAATTGTCATTTTACAGTCGGCACAGGCAGGAAGTAACACGATCCAGATGTGCAAGGAAATGGGTTCCCTCTAAAACTACAGTAAATGTGGGACTAACGAGGACCAATTGGAATGGCAAATAACAGATGATTACTAAACGTATAGTTACCTGAGTGGATCAAATATCACATTTACAGCACTGTATACGACCCTCACAAGTCAAAGGTCAATATTTGACGATGACTTATTCAAAACAGGAGAACGACTGCCCCCCTCCGAAAAAAAAAAAAAACACAACCAACAACTATGTTTTGGGTTGGAGTGGTCAGCTCAGGACAAGGGCGGCGCCAGATCTCCTTTGATGGCCCCTGGAGATGACTGGTCAGCTGGTGGGGGTGACAGAGGGGACAACAGCGACAGATCCGTGATGCTTGGATGTGCATTTACACAGAATGCGGTGGGAACAGTGTGCACAGGTTCCTCAGCCTGTAGCTTCATCTAAACAAACTGTTTATCTCCGTGGTGCAACGCCCGAGGCTACTACTGCTTGTCTCATTGCAAATGAGCTCATAGCGCTCTTGAGCTGAGCTGACACAGCCTTTACGCAGACGCGCGCACACACAAGCACTGTGTCGTGGGGACCGTGCGGGGAGCTGCGCTTTGCTCCACTGAAGAGATTTTAAGAAAAATTAAATAAAAAGGCTCGCCCTCGGGCTTCTGCCGTGAGATTATTTTGGTCCATGAATGTCTGACGAGTCACAATTTACATCCTTCACGATGACGCACAGCGGAGGGGGGAAAAAAAAAAAACAGCCTGTTCTGTTCAGGCTTTGGTCTTCAACGGGGCTCACAGTGCAAACATTTGGTTGACATCAGTCATTGGGTTACAGAAAGACAATAAAACACAACTTTGATGTTCTTTGTCCTGTTTTTGTTCAGCGCCTGGACTTTTCTTGAACGTGGACTTCCGAGCCCAGTTTTTAATGACGCAATGTTTAGAGCAACACGGGAGGGGGACGGGGTAGGGAGGGTGTGTGTGCGTGTGTGTGTGTGTGTGTGTGTGGGGGGGGGGGGGGGATGACCAACTCACACAGCACAAAATGACAGATCGGTGATATCATACTTTGCATCTTTTGGGAGAATCACAAACAATGACGTGCTTCAGGAGGCAGCGGTCCATTCAGGGACGCCACACCTGATGTGTGTGTGCGTCTCTAACGTGTGGTAGAGTGGGGGGGACAGGTTAGGGGTGAAGCGAGGATACTCTCTGTGGAGGTGGGGGCTGTTCTGCCTGCTTGCAATGTTTTCCGAGCTCTGCCTCTGGTAAGGGTCGTGAGTGACGGGTTCTCCCAGCGGCGGCGAGCTGTGGTGGGCTACGGCGCTGAGGCGGGAGCCCTGCGGACTCGAGCTGTAGGGGGGGTGCGGGTTATAAGGCGGGTAGGGCTCCACGGGGGTCATGGCGGAGGGCAGCGGGCAGTGGTACGACCAGGATGCACCGCCGCGGTCGTCAAGTCTGCTCTCCGAGCCCGCGAACATGCACGCCTGACGCTGACCCATGTCGGAGCTGTAGTGGGCGTCTGTGAGAGATAGGCCGGGGGTACTGGACAGGGCGGGCGCCGGGGGAGGCGCAAAGGGGGAGGCGTGATAGTAGGAGTCGCCCGGGCTTCGTGAGCTAGCGGGGAAGGCTCTCTTGAAAGGGTGCTGGCAGTTTCCAGGGGAGCGGTTCTCCTCCACTGCACAGAGAAAATGTTGTGACATTAAATCAGCGCAGAGAAAGTTGCTGCTACTTTAAAACGGTTTTATTGCTGAGCTGAGCACCAAAAGTGCACATAAAAGACAATTGCATTAGTTTTGCGGCTTGACATTTACTGAGGCACAAAAAAATAAAAGAGCGCATAATTCATGTTTGTCCCATGATCTTAATGGACTGCACGCATTATACTGTAGCTGGCACTGAGCTTATGTCAAGTATCCTAAGTCTACTTGGAGAATTTAAACACCATGAATCTTTGCCATGTTTGGACTATTTAGATATTCAGGGCTTGTGTATGGTTCCATTGTGCTTACATTTTGGGATCTCGAACTAAAGAATGAACGTGTACAAGAGAAACACGATTACTCTCAAGTCTTGAGAAACGTATGAAAGGAAATAAGTATGATATTTACAGGTAATTTCCGTATGAGTATACTGCCTTGACATTTTTATGACAAACCCAAAAACAGACAAAAAAAAAAGGTGCTTTGTTTGTTTTCATTCCATTGTCTGTGCTGGCAACTGGCAAGAATGTTATGCTTGTATTCTTTACTAGGAATTAGCACTGCATTGCGAGTGATTTTAACTACGGTAACTCCATTCTTTTATTTACATATTAAGATGACTTATACACGTGTATATTCTAAATTAATTTTGAGCAGTTTCAAGTGTTTGCCACCTCAGCGGTTACGCCTGCACAATCGAAAGTGATCCAGCACATTGTCTGTATCAACAGCGCTCTGTTTTGTTTGTCAGTGTCAACGAGGCATAAATTGAACAAAATATTCTTTATTGAGATGTGGTGAACTGTACTACATAATAGTGATATTTCAAAAAAAGAATGAATTCATATTGAGCATTGTTATCTTTGTAAAGGCAGATTGTCGTGACACTGCTCTGACATTGGCTTTCATTTGATGGTGGCTATTAGCAAGGCTAGTGAATGCATAGTGTCAGTTATAGAATATGCGAGGTGGAGGACCATAATTGAATTTTAGCTCTGAAAAGCAATGCAGCAAAAAAGACAGTGTGCCGCATATTTCAATGAATGCTACAATAAGCAAATCAACATGTGTACCTCCACATCAACATGTGTCCTGTAAAACTGGAGAGTCAAGTTCAGCAGCCCCGAATGTATTTCAGAGGGATTACGCTGTGCTCCTATGCAACAGTAATGAACCCTTCCATGATTCGATGGACTCGCTAAGCCACAGAATTTTAAATGCCGGTTTTTCATTCGTTTTTACAGTATACGGTGAACCTCCATGAAAATCCGCTAATAATTGACGCCCCCACCAAGAGGATTTTGTAATCGCATGTAGACACCACAACGGCGGGAAAAGCTCTTAAAACGGAGAGGATCACAAAGCATCAACATCATGCTTCTAGCATGAACACAATCATGAGCCCCGTGTTACATAAACAACTGTATACAATAGTTATATTATTTGTCACAAACAAACCACCTCCATATGATACTCGTCAATAAATTTCGCTCGCATGCTGGCCTAAATTAGACATTACCACAAACTTTTGTGACATCACACAAAAGCAAACAAATATGTGCACGAGCACTTCACACAAACAATACTAGGTCATTAAAGCCACCTTTTCATATTTACAGACAATAATACATGTTAAGATGTACAGGCAAATTGCAACAACGTGGACAACACCAGCCTTATTAGAAGCTGCATCAGCACAGACGCAATTTAGCAATAATTTCACTTTGAAAGTGAGTTTGGTGCATTCAAGGACCGCCACCAGAACAAGACATCTCCAACCTCTATCAATGAATGAATTAAACCGAACAACAACATCAAAATTCCACCAGAAGGCGACAAAATAATAACTATTGCTTTGGTCTGAGCACAAAAACAATAAACAGACAAGTCGTCTGCAAATAACAGAGGGTAAGTTCCCCCCAAAATTCCATGAGCATGCAAATTCGCAATCGTCCGAACATGACCTGACTTCATTGCAGTACCACATTTCACCACATGGGCAGCACTGAGGCCTACTGGAAGAGACGGCGAGACATGCGCTTATACACCCTTCGCTGTAAAACAGTGCCACGATTTGCCGTTTTATTGTTTGTTGTTCCGACAGGGCAGCATTTGATATATTCTTGTAATGCCCTTTTTGTAAATGTTGCTGCTCTGTGCGTGTTCAGTTCGCGGTTGTCTGAAAGTTTCAAATGATTGCATCCATGGTCTATGGCATTTTGCATTACACGTTTGCATTACACTCACAGCCTTTGGTGTTGAAATATTCAGTACGACGTTCATTCTCCTTTGTTTTATGTGTCATTTGTACAGTAAACGTCAACTAGGAGTAAAAAAAAAAAAAACGCTTCTGGCCAGCATGCTTTGCCTATTTGAGAAACAAGTAGGAGAGAGAGAACAGATGCTAAGAAATAATATGTTTAATAAGTTTTAATGTGTTTGAGAAATGTAAAGCAATTTAAAAAAAAATAAATGAATATTCTAAAAACTATGTTTGGTATTTTCACAAGGGCTGGAAATGTATCCCCCCCGCCCCCCCATGATAAATGGCGATTCACTGTATGTTAAAGATCAAGGCTCCAAAAGCAAGACTTGTAGCCGTATGACCCCGAAGATTTGACCCTGGTGACGTGACCTGATGAACAGTTTAGCCATTCGTACCTTTCCTCTTGGTGCATTGGTAAAGTTGAGTCTGTTGGACGTGTTGAGGATGAGACAAGGTGTAGTGAGCTGACGGACTCCCAAGCAGTGTCTGCGGGCTGCTGCTGCTGTTGTTCAGTCCGTTCTCACAGCTGTAGGGCGACGTGGCCGCTTCGGGTGAGCCTCTCACGACCCGGACCTCCCCGCCGAAGGGACTCTCGGTGGAGCACGCTCTCTGACGGCCCGTGCTGCGTGGGACCACAGGGTAGTCCTTACTGAATCAGAAAGAATCCAGCAAAAGGACACATTTGAATCCGGTTACGTTTGTCACTGCATTCAGGTATTTTCGCCTGGTCTTATCATTCGGGCTTCTGCCCCCCCCCCAATCCCCTGTCTCTCTCTTTCAAGTCTACTTAAGCGCTCTCCATCCTTTCAGCTCTGATCTCCCTCTGTAAACACAGCCCTCTCGGTGAACTCTGTGGTATGTAGGGGACAGCGGGCCACATCTCGCTGACTGGCGCTGTGATAGTGACACGCACAAGCAGACACATGCACGCACAAACAGCAAGGGCCGCTGTGAGATAATTTGCCGCTCTAAAAATAAACATCCAGCCATGTGTCACTTCGGATATCGGCTCATCTCCACAAACCAAAGCAGCACAATAGCACAAAGGGATGGGCGGTGGAGCGCTGCACCGCAATGCTCTGCACAGTGTAGCCCAACACCGCCCTCCCTCCACCCCTCCAAGTTCCTTTCAGTAACAGGCTCTCTCATTGGCCCACTGACATTCTCCAAACTGCAGACACAAGTGGAGTTCAGCTGCCATAGTGGAGATCAGCTCAGCACACAAGCGGTTGATGAGCGGTGACAGAGTGATTCGCGAGCAGGGGTGCGCTCTCATTGGTATGGCGCTGCTCCACTCTTGTGTGTTGTGTTGTGCTGCGTTGTTAATGCTGTATTCTGCGGACCAGCTGGAGGGTCAAGCTCATCCTTCAGGTGACAGCGGCTCACATCTTTTTTTTTTTTGCCACTTGGCTCAACCCAACACATGCACTCTCACAACATATGTACACCATCATAGTAGAGTGGGAAGAAGGAGGAGGAGAAAGAGGAGGAGGCGGATACAGTAGCTCTACATACAGCGGACCTCTGCTATTCGCGGGCAGAGGAACTGAGCTTGACTTCAAATAGTAAATTTCCACAAATCATTGAAGTGACTACAATTGGCTAAGAAAATAGGATCCCAAAACACTCCGACAGCATTTTACCAACATCTTTATGCTGTGTCACACGCCTTCGTCACATCTCGGCTGGATTACTGTAATGCTTTTTGGAATGAGCCAATCCTCCATCAAGTGTCTCCAGTTGATCCAAAATACTGCTGCCCGTGCCTTACTCGTATGAGGGAGCACATAACTCTGGCGTCCCTTCATGGGCTCCCTGTACATTTTAAAGTTTGTTTTAACATTTTATTTGTTTTCAAATCTTAAAATGGCCTCAGCCCGGCTTACCTCTCCGAGCTCGTCCACAGACGCTATTAGAGGTAGCGAGGACTAAGTGAAGGCTCAGAAAAGGCGTTCAAGCCTTTTTCAGTGTCGGTCCCTCGCTGCGGAATGACATCCCGCCCCATCTTTAAAACTCATCTTAAAACTTATTCTTTGGCTTTTGGCATGAGGCTTGGTTTTAGTTTGACTGTTTTTGTACTTTTTATTGTCTATTATTTTATTTATTATTATTATTATTTAATTGTCTGTTGCTGTACGATGTATTTTTGCTCCATGCAACTTTGTGTACAGTGGTGGCTCTTTTAAAGTGCTCCTTAAATACAGTTGAGTTGTGTTTTGTTTTATTGTACTTGCCCCGAGTTCAAGTGCACAAACGTCGTAGCTCTATTACATACTGCGGAAAGTATTTTGCCAAGAAAATGAAGAAAAAAAAAACCCCTATATTTTAGATTATTTTTGTGACATTACTGAAAATTGTAAATAGGCAATTTTCCCCCCCCCCAAAACAGCCAATAGACACCCACCCCTTTACCCCTCAAAAATTAGCAAATGCCAATCTGAGTATCTCCTGGGGTCCACTGTATTTTGAATTATCTGACACACACACCTAGACAAGAACACACAAGGTTGAACACATTTCAATAAGGGGTGTAGCCACTCATCCTTTTCACATGATTCATCAACATGATCTATTTTTGTTCTATTTGCTGCTTTTTTAGGTTTCTTCAAGGGTGTAAGATGAGCTCGCGGGACTACAGTTCAGATGGCATCATAGAATAAAGTCTGTGCATGTTTTGTTTTTCTGTGTCTTTTTGTGACTCTTATTCTGAAAGGAACATTCTCAACAAGTACTGTGAAGAAAAGATGGACCTGAAGAAGAATTTGGTCACAGGGAGGACAATTCACTGCCAAGTTTGAATACAGTGATTTGATTAGAGTGATTGACACATACACACAAGTGCTGGCACGCGCGCACACACACACACTAAGTGTACTCACCCTTGCAGTTTGGCCATGCGGTGCAGCTCGTTGTCGTCACTCCCTCTGAAGCCCTTTGCAAAGGGATTGTTCTCTATCTTTAACTGAGTAATCTGAGGACAAAACAAAGGATCTCTTTTATAGACGAGCGCTGACATTAAAGCACAGCACATCCACAGGACCATACATGCACATAGACGCGAGCGGGCCCTTTTAAACCTTCTCGCCACCGAATGAAAGTCAACGGTTTATTATTAGCAGGGGCCCCGTAGATGTTAAAAACAGCCCCGATGAAGCTTCGCACGGCCAAACATTCCTCAGCCGTTGAAGTTCTTGACGGAGAGGACGGTGTTCTCGCCAGCTGACACTGAATAAACTGTTTAGCCAAACAGTCGCCAGGTTTAAGCATTTTCAGGCCAAAGCTTTTAGAGGTTCGGCGCTTTGATGTGAGCTCTTCAAACTTTTCTCATGGAGGGGAAGCCTGCGTTTGGCGGCGGATAGTGTGAGAACGCAGGCGAGCTGCTCAGGTCTAGCAGCTGAGAACGCAGAGATAGCCACTATACGGTCAGCAGAGATCAAGTCAAACGCATTTTATGATAAACACACAGAGATTTTTTTTTAATAAACCAAATAAAATAATTACTACTGCTTGAATGCAAATAGCACGTTATAGTTACAATGTTTTTCCATAGTATTATATATATATATATATATATATATATATATATATATAAATAAATGTGTGGGTTTTAAAAAAATAAAATGTACATTATTGTTCAATGTATAGGAACATCTGCTCCTAATACACATTTATAAATCCAGGCTCTTGTACGTTTTTATAAATCTTTTTTCACATTTATTATGATTTTTTTCAAACATTTTGCTGCAGATTTTGTACAATTTAGGAAATGAAGCAAGTGCAAACAGGAGTGTATGGAATAATTAGGTAAAGGAGTATCGCTTTTAGAATTTTTTGGTATCAGATGTGACTCGCTCGTAGCGATCACAAGAAGGCCAAATGAGCCCAGGGGGCTTCAAGCCTGAGTGATGTGTGTTTTGAGTGTAAAATGCATGAGCCAAGATCAAGGGGGAAAAAAAAAAGCAGGTCATTAGAGCGTGACACACACACACACACAGACACACACACACACGCACACACACACACACACACACACACACGCACACATACACGTGTGTGCATGCACATGCACACACAAACATCTTTTTTTCACCAAAACAGAGTAATTTCATCAAAGCAATGATGATGCAAAATAACTTTTTGCACTGAAATAACAAACAAGAGAAAACGTTTGTGTGCTGGAGGCTAACTGTGATCTGTTGGAAACATTTGGCTGAGGACATTTTGGACCAAATTTTGTTTTAAGGTTGGAATTGAAGTTTAAATTTTGGGATTAGGAACCCTCTCATAATGGTTTAGGCTTGGACAAGATGCTCGGGTATTACGCAAACGAATGTCCTCATGGGACCATACCAGTACAAATGCTTTGTGTGCGTGTGTTGAACTAATTTGACATGCACACATAAGGCTTCTGGGGTCATTCTAGTGTTTTCAGCTCTGACAAATCTATAATGGGCCATCTCTACAAAGTACTAACATTAAAAAGTCAGCATTATTTTCGTCACTGATGCTCTCATCTTGACAAGGGATGTCCCCGTGGAGTAAAACTGACCTTATGGTTCTGGTAGGAGGTTACAGCAATGAAGGCCGTCTCAGAGAAGACATGAGTGCAGAAAGCCGTGTTCTTCGAGCCAAAGCCGTTGTTCTCGTCCGCCTTGACAATATGGACGCGGGGCTGGTATTTGTGCATGGAGTTCAGTATTATCTGCACAGGGGTGAGATTGGGAGGGTGAGGTTGAGTTTGCGTCACCAGTTGAGTTCCCATCAGCGGCAGATGGGAGTTGGCCAAAACGGCCCGGGTTCGGGTTATTAACACATTTCGAAGATGACATCAATTTGAACAAAGGAATTCACAGCGCAGTAGATCAAAGTGAGGGAAAACAAGATTTACAACTTCTTTTAACTTAGGCTTTATGAATCCCCTCTGTGAAAATTGGCGTATAAAATGCACGGCTTACTCATTGAGAAAATTGACTTGCATCATCATGATAGCTGAGGCTAGTATAGGTTGACTCACTCAGAACAAAATGAGGTTACCAAATATAATTAATAGACACAACTCTCATTTTGATGCCGCGACATCCTGCACTGCTTCTAACTACTACCACAATACTAAACATCTTGTTCAATGAACACCTTGCCGACAGTGTGAATCAAAACCGAGCATTATTATCTTTCTCATGGCAGAATATGATACACAGCTCGTGTAGTTGCCATGACAATTATTCTCAAAGCGTGACAGGGCTGCCAATGTTGGTACGCGAACTCCCTCTTGCGGTCCACTCAGGAATTACTGACCAAATTTGGTTCAGTTGTCTTTAACTTTCAAGTTAAACACATTTCATGAAGTGTTGAAGAACGGTTTGTTTAAAAACATTTATTTAGGTGCAATTTTTAATAATATTCATGTATAGTACTTTTTAATTTAAAGCTTTACAAATTACACATTTTTTTATTGTTTTATATATGACAATAGGCGGTTTGGAGAATTCATGAATATAATCAATGGTATTCAAGCAGATGGTGCGCACACTGTGCAAAACGTAACAGAGGCTGACAATATTATTAAATCTAATTTTTAGGAATCAAAATTTGTCATGAACATTTATAGGTATCATACGGCATTGTATTTCTTGTCTGCCCAGGTGGTATTTTGAGTACCACTTGGCAAATGATCTGCAATGTGGCTGGTGTAAGCACATCTGACCAGTCTAATTAATTTAATAGGACACATCGCTACACATCTTCTGCTTTTACAAGAAAAACAAAAGCTGTGGATTGACACTGTCGGAGAGGTAAATACTGTCTACTAAGATGATTACGTACAGTTTGTTTAAATGGTAGGCTGATGACCTTTGACATTTTTATGATTAAATTGGTGGTGATTAACGCTACAATTTTGATTGACACTATGGGAGAGGAATTGATTTAACAGTTTCTCTATTGTCGTAGTTTGCAGTGATGCAGAACGACACTAAAATGTATTTCTGACATTTTATGCGTCTTAAGATTGAACTCATTTCAACAAGTTATTCAAAAGATTGTGCGACCACTCTTTGCTTTCCCACAATTCTGAACAGCCGGACAGAATTGACCTTGCCCCCCCCCCCACCCCCATACAATGAAAACCACACACGATTTTCTCCACAGAATCGCTGGCCTTTTCGTGCACGTGCACTGGGGCCCATGCATGCGCGCCTTCATCCAGAGGGGCTCAATTTAATCGCAGTGACGTGTCCGCCGGTGACAGATTGAACTCATTTCAACAAGTTATTAAAAAGTTGGTGGGCCCACTTTTTGTTTCCCCAAATTTCTAAACACCGGGACAAATTTGCCTTTCCCCCCCCCCCACCCCCATACAATGAAAACCACACACGATTTTCTCCACAGAATCGCTGGCCTTTTCGTGCACGTGCACTGGGGCCCATGCATGCGCGCCTTCATCCAGAGGGGCTCAATTTAATCGCAGTGACGTGTCCGCCGGTGACATGCCTCAACTAATGGACTTCACAAGTCTTTGGGATCATTACTTAGGGGCCTGGAAATGTGATGTTTTGTGTTTGTTTCAAACAATACACGTTGACCTGCTGTTAGTGCTGCTGGTAGCCTAATTGGCGCTGCAGCGGGGTGCTCGGGAAGGGAACCAGTGTGCACTCATGTGGCCCCTGGCTGATTTGTGCTCTGTTATGATGGCTGCTGACTTCTATTCACGACAAAGCGAGGTTAGTGCAGCGACTGCGGCTTTAAAAACCAATGCAATGATTCTTCCAAAATTAAAAACACATCCTCAATGCAGGGCCAATGATTGATTGCGCCACTGGAGTACCATAAGAGCACTTTTGCCGTTTGAAATCAACCTCGCGTATTATTGTACTCTATAAAAATGCAATTAAGCAGCAAATCTCACGTGTCCAAATGGGTCCAAGTGGTTGTTGGTAAGTTTGAGCTTCTGGAAAGACACCAGCTGGCGGCTCCAGTGGGCCCCCGTGGCGGGAGAGTCCGGGTGGACGTAGAGTCTGCCTGGCATTGCTGGTTCGGCCTTACCCGTTACAGACCTACACACGTACAGTTTGATAAATATTGATGTAGCTACTATTGCACTATAGCGAGACATTGACATCCAGTGGGTCACAGTGGTAGGTCTGACCTAGTCGTGCACCGCTGTACTTGACGGCACAAAACTAGTTCATTAGACTCAGGCACCAATATTTTACATGCGCTCAAATAAGACAAGTACTTTGGCTCAATCTGACAATTTTAACACTTTCAACTTCTCTGTTCAACATGATGCAAGATGGACACAGTTTTGGGCACAAACGACGCCTGCATGTTTTGTAGGCGACTGGGTATGTTTATTTTGGTAGAGTAAAATATTATTTGGAAACACCTGCCCTTAATTAGTTTGTAAAAGTACACGTGTGCAAATGATAATTAATTGCACACGTCATTTGGCGCACGTGCGCTGCATTGCAGAAAAAAAAGAGAAACGACATGCCTCGTTCGGTCTTGAAAGTTGTTTCACCTTTAAACGGACGAACTAAAAGAAAATTAAACAAAACTAAATAATCAGGTCTGCTCCCGCATTTTTTTTTACGTTATTGAATTTGGGTTTGGTCGTTGTGCGCTTTGAGTCCTGCTAATGCAAAGCACCGCTGCGATACACCTTTCACGTTTCCCCTTTCAATTCATCATGCGCATGTAAAATTATATTTTACCTTACAATTACTGGATGCATTCTTGCATTTGAAGTATACCCACGCTCAATCGCATATTAGTGCGCGGTAACGGAGGTCCGAAGAGGTGGCGAGCCGAGCGGTGATGCATCAGTAGGACTCATCGGATTTCCCCCCTCAGTTGAATGGGAGACTTTAATCCGTTCCGTGTCGTCTGTCCGCCCGGTGAACCCTCCGCAGACTGATTTAACCGGCGGGTAGACGAAGGGAAGAGACTGGAAGTAGGCCAGCCCGGTCTCCAAAGAGGGCCTGGCTTTTAAGCATGCGATAAAGGCTCATCGATGGAGAGCAATTTAATATTTTCTGAATATTGGCGGCGATATCAGAATATCAAGCCATCCGCGCATTTGCAGAATAAAATCATGATATTTTATGGAACGCTCACGTCTCCTACATACGTTCGAAAGAATAAACAAAAATGAAACCCACCATTTGTTGTCTGCAAATTTATATCGGTGGTCATCCCCGGGCACAATGTCCATGAGGAGAATGTATTTGGTTTTGGGGTTGAGTCCTGTGACCTTCACTTTATAACTGGGGAACATCCGTCTAATGAAAACAAGGTGAAAAGCAAACATTAAGAATGTTTGCTCAATCAAATGTGGATCTTTTCGGTGTCATAAAACACGTTCACGCGTTGTTTTGCTGAAATGCATTTAAAAAGATGGTATTAAAAAAATGTTAATAATACATTAATTTTCTCCTTACCTTCCAGCCTTGGTGATGATCATTTCAGTTCCTACTTCATCAAATCTCGTCCAAAGCTCCCTGTCATGGAGAAACACTTTTATTCCCTCCATACCCTGCGGCAAAACACACACACACAAAAAAAACGCCAGTTAGATTTATTAATTGCATCATCGTCTTGTAAATTTCCGGATAATAGGCCAAACAGTGGCGATGTGAATACGACAAATACATGGTAAATAATCCAAAGGTTCTACACACACCAGCTGAGTGGAATTTGTCTGTGGTGAAGCAGGTGATTTTAAACTGTAACTGCTGAGATTGTCTTGTTTAGTCTCCTTGGGAGAATCCGTGCCGTTTGAGTCTGGACGCTCAGCGAGGCCGAACTGGTCGCCTCCGTTTGCCATGTCCCCCTACACACACACGCACACACACACACACACACACACACACACACACACACACACACACACACACACACACACACACACACACACACGATCAGTCCAACATGAATTTACTATTAAAGTCTGGAATTTTTTAAACGTATTTTTGCAGTGTCTTTTGAGACATACAACGATCAATTGTAAAATATAAACAAACCCATTGCACACGCATAGTGCATGTGATTTCTTATTCCGTGCAATGCATATTAATCCAATACAAATTAAAATCCAATCGCCGACACTGACTTCAAAATGCGAAGAAACCTACAGATGTTTTCACGCGCCTTGATTAGAATTCAAGTTTAAATCTCTATGAAGTTATGAGTTCGGGACACCTACAAGGCGTTCATGCAAAATAACACAATGATTTCCATTGTAACTGCATTTGTGAAATCTAATAAATGGCTTTCACTGTAAAGGAGATTAAACGTCCATTGTATTGTTTTGAAATTGGATTTTTGCCACTCAACATGCATGGAGTTTCCATTCCTGTCTATATTTAATTCATTGCTACATGTCAGATATGTTCCGGGCAACTGCAGAGATCACTGTACGTTAAAAATGCATGTTATAACATAGACATGGCATTTCGTGAGTGGCATCAAGCGTGTTCAGTACTGTATTTGGATTGTCCTCTCCCGGGGCGGTGCACTTACCTCAAGCAGTCCACCCTGCAACAATCATGATCATCATCGTTCTCCCTCCACGATCACCTCTCTTCGGCGGAGCTTGTTTTAATTTCCAAATTAAATATCTGAAACGACGTCCACGTGTTTCAGGGAGATGACGTCAAAAATTAATCCACAGCGCACAGATTTTGGAAGAACATCGGTTCTGGTTTGAGTGTCCTTACAGCTGCCGCTTTCCGTAGGCCAATCAGATCATTGCAGCTCTAATTTGTGGGACCTTTAGTGTCGCTCCTCTCCCGGTTGCCCTCACCGACTCGGTGCCAGCCCCGATCTGGACCCCGCTCATCACATCCTTCATAACAAATGGAGTCAAATCCGGCTCAAACACACAGCACCACCCCCTCGTGACAGTCCTGTGCTCCTATTGGCCAGAGCCGCGCATGGCATGGCCTCCCCCTCCCCCTCCCCTCCTTTGTTGTTGTTGTTTTTTTTTTTTTAAACACAATTATTACATACAATTAGTTAAACCAACGTTTCCAACACGGACGTGTAATTTATTTACACCCATATGTTTAAAAAGCGGCCCAATTGTCGTCTAGAGAAACATAACGCCAAATAATTCGGCAGTCTGTGACGTCATTCACAGCGTTGGTTGCGACGTCACACAACAATCATGTTTAATCTCGTCGTAGATTCACGGGGATAAGCACACTGACCAGGAGTATTGGACAACCTCATCACCCGGGGCAAACATGAAGGGGTCATCGGGAGGTTACGTCCGGCTTGCTGCTTTCTGCTTTTCTTCGGGATGACACCGAGACATTTACGCATCGGCGGCTATTGTGTGGCTGACTGACTGGGCCTTGGATGGACATGATATGATCTTATTATGGCGTTCTTTGTTGACATTCATGGATCGCATGACCTGAAATATCGCAGAACATGCCTTAATTATTTATACTAATAATTTAGAGCTAATGGTTTTGAAAACTTTTTTAAAGTTCCACAGTCAGCTAAAACGTGTCGAGCTCGCGCTCCAATAAGTGTACGTTTTGAATTTATTATTTTCAAACAGATATCTCGCGTCTAAGATTGTTAAGTTGAAATGTGTAAATAAACGCAAACTTCATAATATTGAGTAGCAAATGTCAATTGCAAAATTAGATTTTTAAAAATCATCATCACATCCTCCAAATTGACAGGAAACTCAGAACGGTTGGTTAAACAAAAAAATTGTGCTCAGACCCATGGAATGAGCAGGCCTAAAAAAAAAAACAAGAAAACACTAATCACTTCGTTTTGCTTTTTTATACTGTTATGAACAACATGTACACATGTACCCTCACCCCTCAATTATTAAGAGTCATAATTTACTCGAATAACTCCACATTTGCCACCATTAACTAATTTCAGTTATCATGCAAAAATAAAACTTACCTAATTCTAGTGCGTACAATGTTCTCCAAATATTAAATAAACATTTAAGCGAAAATCCATGTTATTAACTTTTGAATATTTATTAATAGAACATATAATAATGCACGCCGGATACGGTAGATTTTTGTGTGTGTACGTGTACGTGCGTGTACGTGTGTGTGTGTGTGTGTGTGTGTGTGTGTGTGTGTGTGTGTGTGTGTGTGTGTGTGTGTGTGTGTGTGCGTGTGTGTGTGTGTGTGCGTGTGTGTGTGTGTGTGTGTGTGTGTGTGTGTGTGTGTGTGATATGTTGTCGTTTGTTGGAAGATTCATCAAATGAGGTTCCAGATTTTTACAGTCAACAATTTGACCATGTAGCAAATGACGATTGAGAGGGAAAAATGAACACTTGTTTAAATGGACGCCGTAACTGTCATTCAGTCATTTACAACTGTGAAATGAAACCTACGCGTAAAAAGAAAATATGTAAAAATATACTAAGCATTTAAAAAAAAAATATATACGCTTAACGCACAAACACACAAAGCTAGATTTTCGTATGTACGTGAGCTGTAAAATATACGTTTCACGAATGGCGTCCAAGCCATAAAACGTTTTACTGCATTTCTGCTCCAGATTCAGAGAGACACGTCGATTTCACTTTCTTCTACAAACAATAGCCCACACTAAATATATACTATGCACTGTTTGCTACCATTCATCCATCCATCCGTCCATCCATTTTGTTATCTGCTTATCCTCACAAGGGTCGCGGGGCGTGCTGGAGCCTAACCCAGCTATCTTTGGGCAGTAGGCGGGGTACACCCTGAACTGGTTGCCAGCCAATCGCAGGGCACATATTTGCTACCTTGCTTAAATACGGTAATGTGGCAATCACAAGACTTGCAGACAATAACTGTCCAAGTTGGAACTGAGTAAATGTAGACCTTTCCTTTCTTTTTTCTCCAAGTTATCTTTGAATATAGGTTTCCCCCAATGAGACTGCAGCTGCCTGGCCTGGCCTGTGAGGCAGATGAAAAGTGAGAGGAGAAGGTTTCAATAGTACCTGAAATGAGGTGGTGCTGGCGGCTGAACTGCTCATTATTATGGTCCCATCCGGGCTTCAGCTGACTGGACCCTCTGTTCTCTGTCTGGAGGAAGTGGTGAAGGGGTCCCAGACCTCCTGCACTCAGCGGGTCCGTCTCACACACCTTGAGCTCGGCCACGACTAGGATGTGTGTGTGGCATTGGAGGGCGAGGTCAACTCATTTCTCTGCAAACAATCACATCACACAGGGCCAAATACATTCCACAGCCCCCCCACCCCTTGACTGCATCCAGTCTGTGAGGTGGTCTTATGAGGGAAAAGCTCAGATTTTTTTGGGGGGGCGGGGGTGGGGGGGTTGGCAGTGCTCCAAGCAGGGCCTGCGTCCAGCTGCAGGAAAACCTGTTCCACATTAATATGTCTTTATTGCTGTACATGTTAGGAGACCCTGCCCCACACTGGTTTACAAGAATGATCTGCTCCTCTTCATGAGACTAATCGCAAAGATGAGTGGTCCATAATGGAGGGAGCCCTATTTAAAAAAAAGTTGCGTAGCAATACTCAAAACTATTGATTTAAAACAAATAAATAATTCATCTACACTCTCTCAAACCTTTTACTTGAGAGAGTCAATGTCACCCTAAACTTCCCTATTTCACCCCCACCAAAAATGTAAGATGTTCCATTAAACGTCATGCTCACTGGATTACATGTTATGCTATTAGAAATGAAGGCTATATATTGGTCTAGCTCCCTCCCACACAAGAAATAAATGAAACGACAAAATGTGAGTCGTAATGTCTCTAAAAACATCTGCAGGTTTCTGAATGGGGCAGTTTCGCCAAGAATGATAGGGTGGACAGAAATTTCAGGAACACGTGCAGAATGTTCACTATGGCTATGAAAATAGAATATACGCCTCAAAATTTATCAAATTAATTGTTGTGGACAGTACAAACATGTCAAAAATCTTTTGTATCATTGAAATACTGTACTTACTATACATTTTGTGTAAGTTCATTTAATAGTGATATTGACCCAGAAATCAAATTAAAATTCACCAAAATGGAGGCATCTTTACTGATCTGTTAGGAAAACACCACTTTAATATCCAATTTACTTCTTGTACTGAACTGGATTCAGTAGCTTATTTTGCAGCATTATAAAAAAGTCATGACAACATGTGGCCAACTAATGTGTATGCTGTAAATTACTTGAGAATACTGTACACAGAATGAAGCTCTGTTGTTTAACATAACTTCTCACTGTTTGCTTCAAATCTTCAATTTAGGTTAACATCAGCATATTTATGCATTGGGAGAGAATTTGTGATTTGAGTGACGTGTTTCTTTTCGAAGTACATATGAGAAAAAAAAGTGTGTGTATATGTATATACAGTACTGTGGAATGTTTTTTTTCGTTCACCATTGACAGATGTTAAATTAAGAGTAATTCTGAAGACCACAATTTAAAGCTCCGGTGGATATTAACATGTGTAGTCTTGCAGCGCCCTCTTGTGGTTATCTCTTTATAAGCAACTAAACAGAACCAGAACGGGGGGAGGGGGGGAGACAAGAAATAAGTGACAAAGTCGAAGAGAAACAAACTAACAGCAGCGTGACTTCATCAAACACTTAAAGTGGTTCATGTATTTTCGTCTACAAGTCACAAAGCAGCATGCAGTCCAAGTGTGCCAGGAGCATGAGTGTACAATGGAGTAACTTAAATTTAACATCGATAAAAAAAAGCCCAGTGTGGGCAGTCTGGTGCTGCTTATTCATGTAGTAACATTAACATTTGGGGATTCAGAGTGTCTGGCTGCCTCGAGAGACGCTGTCACTCAAAGGCGTTAAAGTAAAGTGTCAAGTGACCTTTACGTTGTGTGAATGCAAAGGCAAGCGGTTCAACCTCCAACGCTGAGGGGGTCCTTTCTTATACTGTCTGATTATTTTTATGATTTAGAAGGAAAATAGTTAATTGTTCAAATGACGACTCTCGCATCTTGTTCTAACAAACTTCAACAGTTCAATTCACTTCATCCTTGTTACTGCCTTCAGATCCCTCAAAATACCTTGGGGAGGTCTGTCTTTACCAGACTGAAAACTCATTTTAACACAGCTGACATTTCACAGGCACTCGAGGCATTAGCCAGCACAATTTAAACTGTTCTACCGAGACATTTAATGTCCAGCAGCCTTGTGGACGCTGACGAGGACATGGTCAGAGGTCAGGACACAGTTTTAGGCTCTTTACCTAATGGAGCGTTGCACTGGACGTGTGAAACACCTCACTTATCACAAGTGTCAGGCCTTAGTTGGACACATGCGCACGCTTTTCTTTGTGTCATCACCATGTGCATGTCTGAGGCGACAGGGTGAAAGGGCAAATGAGTTGGCCTCGGCATGATTGTCCTGAGGCAGAAAAAGTTCAACCTAAATAGGAATGTGTTGCCTTGCGGTATATTCCAAAATAGTCTGTACATCTACAGAGTTCATTGATGCCCAATAGCAAGATAATTTTTTTTCCAGAATACAATAAATGAAAATCTTGGATCCTAATTCACTTGTTATTGCGACTTAAAGAACTGACCACCAAACACCAGACCAATACAAAGACATCCGGACTTGAAACCCTAACTGCAAAATCCTAACATAGCCGAGAAACCTTACTTTATATTTACCAAATTAAACTGATTAAAAAATGAAATTTTAATGAAAAAAAAATGTACTGGATACCTATTTTTGGCCAACTGTGTATAGTTGGATTGTATGCTATACTTTTTGTGATGACAACGGGGCAACAAAGCCATCAACTCACTGAACTCGGTGAAAAGGCAACTCAATGAAAGCACACTGTACATTGGAATTTCTGCCACTTTCTTGCAAGAACTCTTGTGACCTTAATTTAATAAGCCATTATGTCTTTGTTTTTACACTAATGTAACATTTGAGGTCCAAATGCCACCGGCATATTTACAGGTACATTATCAATAAGCATACTCTAGTCCTGCATCTCTTGACGCCGCAATAATTTTGTTGACTTGACTGTGGTAGCTTACAGTAATGAGGGAAGGCCTCAAGATGGCGTCTTGATCCAATGGAAGATTCCGCCAAACATATAACATGAAGCCAATTCAACGACATTTGAGTTTTCGACACAACGGCTGTCAAAAGTTGATCCGTTTGTAGCAAGTCGTATTTTTCTTGAAAAACAGCCGCTAAAAGGGCCGGAAAAATCACAAAATCTAAACCGGCAAAGCAACTACACCTGGAGACCAAAAGACAAAAGGTGACATCTATTGGACATAGCGATGTACTGCACGCATACACCCCCAACTCCGTCGAATAATGTACAGTACTGTATAAGACAAATATAAAATAAGAATTTATTATCAAGAATGGAAACCAACAGCATGTGCAGGCTGACGAGTTAACAAAGCATTCAGGCATGAGCAGAAGCCTCAGGTGTTACAACACAAACTATTTGAGACATCCGTGAGGAAGTTGTGAAAGTGGTGAAGCATATAAAAAAGGTAGCAAACAACGTAAGTGCAAAATTGCTAATAAATTACAAGTGGCAGCGTTTACATCCCCATAATGTTGCACGTAGGGGGAAATCGCATTTAGAATCCTCGAAACCTGCTCACCAGGTTTCCATTCTTCATCAAGTACCATGTCGAGTGATTGTATTATTTATTATGGCATCACCACTTCCCGTGTAACATGATGGTTCAATCTACAGGGTTGTGAGTTTGAGGTTGACGGAACACTTTCACTTGTCTCGTTTGTGGCCAGGAAATGCTTGTTGAATGTTGAAGGCTGCTGTGCCTCATGTCTCTCGTGGAAAGAATGTTAAAAGAGAAGACATATGAACTATCAAAATACACATGCCTGAGAACCTCTAGATTTTTTTTTTTGTACCGAGAACGTTAAATTGAAGACAAGTGCAAAGGGTTAAATACATGTGCCATCATTGCTAGCCCTGCAGGAACAATCATAATTCAAGTTTTTAGCAGAAGCTGCATGAAAAAAAAAATCCTTTTTTAACAGCCCTTTGACAATTCAACACTACTGTTCCTCTTGCTACCCATATTATCTGTAACACATCGACATGACCAGCTGTGGGCCCTCATCAATGGTCATGTCATCAACACAGGCTCACCTTGTTAGTAAGGAATACAACAACATACCTGTCAACTTGTACGTTTTCCCCGAATTTCATACGTTTTTTTTTTTATCATTTCAAATCATGTACGGCGTATTCCAACTTTTATACAAAAAAAAAACAATTGTGAAGAGATCTCACAAAGATCATTTTGGCTCAAATCCAGATCATCTCACCTGCTGGTAGCCAACGACAATGCCGTCGTCGATCGCTACTGTTGTCACGGCAAACCAGCAAAAGTAATCCTCAATCGTATATATTTTTTTCATCGCTGCGTACGGTCGGATTGATAAAGCATGATGTGCGCATGCGCGGTAAGCCGTTGTACGGGTTTTTGTTGCTTTGTAAGGGGAATCGTAATCATTTATAAGGGCAGGTATTAGCCGAGGTTGACAGGTATGCAACAATGACCAGACACATACATGTCAAAGCATGTAACAAGAACCACATAGAACCACGGAACCTAAACATCAGTGGTGCGGATGCTGTCATCATCCAGGTTAAAGGGGAACACGCACCCTGTGTGAGACTGAGGATGCGAACGATGCCTCCGGCGGCCGAACGCCACATCTCCGGAAGCCGTGAGGATGCCCATTCCACTACTGGGCATGCTGGGGCATGGGGCTAGAGTTGAGAGAGAGTTGGAGGAGGAGGACGTGGAGGAAGAGTTGGGGGAGGAGGAGAGTGAGGCCAATGTGGGTACGGTGCTAAAAGCGCTGTCATTGTCCTCCGCATCCAAGATGGAGGCTTCATTAGGAGGGATAGGTGTCCACGGCTGCCAGCCCGGCGCCACGGAGCACGACTTGACGAGAGTTGGCCGCTGCTCGGCGACTCGGTGACTTCGACTTGCGGAAGGATTGTGACTCCGATAGAGAGATGAAGCTCTTTTAAACGAAAATCCCTAGAACGAACAAATGACACAAAAACCACATCACTACGGCTCGTAGAAGCTTTTGATTTTAACACGAGAATGATAGACCCAGAGTACAGACCTTCCCCACTGATAAACTGCGAGCCAATGAAAAAAAAGAGGTATTTGTTTGTCCGACCACAGTGTGGTTCGCACCCGTTTTTGCACTCATTGCATGAGCTCTGCAGTCAACTCCTAGTGCAACAAATCTTGTTATCAAAACCCAATTTACAAGCGAGCTGGAGCCTATCACACCCTGAACTGGTTCCAAGCCAATCGGAGGACATTTCACATAAAGGAAACAAACAACCAAACACAATTTACACCTGCGGACAACTTGGAATTTTTATCTAATGTAATTTACTTGTCTTTGGGATGTGGGAGGAAGCCAAGAGTAATGGGGGAAAACCCCTGCAAGCCAGAACATGAAAAGTCCATACAGGAAGGCCTGAGCCGAGATCGGAAACCAGGGCCTCTCGGCTGTGATGAACCACTGCCGTGCCCCAAGCTTGCAAACTAACTTGCAAAACCTGAAATGTGATACATGGAGGATGCTATAAGATATCTATAGGTGGCATCTTTGATTCTGAGGTAAGGACAGCGCTTGCATCGATTGAACTTTTTCATGCAAATTTGCAGCAAAACGTATCTATTTATTTTGCAGCTTTTTCACCAAGTTTCACAGAAACAAATTGTTTCATCTTTCTATTTAAAAAGAAAAAAACAGGCACATTTCAATCTAAACACTGACCTTACCTCTGTGCTTGTGCTTACTCAAGGTAAAAATCAGCAAGACAAATTTGACCAAGATATAAGTCAGAATGTGAACACATTGAAAGTATTTTTATAAATTACATTTAAAGTGCAGTCAAATTTTACATATACACAGCAAATTTCAATCAAATCACATAGAATGCTTCAGACAGATTTTCCGCTTATGATAAATGTCGGGAAAAGAAAGAATATCTTCCCATGGGAAAAACAAAACAACCTCGTTAGAACAGACAAATTGTTTTCAGTGTTGAGAAGAAAGACAGCGTTACCTTGGCAGGGCCTCTGAAATCCTGAATCTTCATCTCTATGTCCCTGATCCAGCCGTGCATATCCTCTGGAGAGTCTGTCTATGAACAGAAGAGGCCACACATCGAATGATTTACAAACACGTAACATGGATATTACCCTCTTGACATTGTGCATACTGAATCTTGAACTCAAATTTTGGAAAAAATAAAAAGTCTTGCGTTCAAGTCATTTGTTGTAAATATTAAGTATGCATTCTTCCATTCAGTTTACTGAACACTATCTGTCATGCTTCCTTTTTTTCAGAAAAACAAATGTGCATAAGCTTGCCATTTCTCTCAGCTGTCCTCCCATGGGAAGGAATCAACAGGATGTTTTTGTTGTTATGGTAACAGATGGCTGCGGTTGCTTCACGAAAACAATCCTTTGCGCTTCACTTCAGTAGCGCGGCATTTCAAGAACACATTTCAAAAACGCGCAAACACCTGCCGACTGCTTCACAAAATGACTTCCCGGGTAATTCGAGACACCAACTTGACTGATGCCTTAATTGTGCGAAGGCAAAACTGTAATTATGTGCAATCAAGCCTATTATGCAGCCATCCCATAAAGCTTGTATGGCACAGTATGAGAACAGAAGTTTACCTGTATGTAGAAGGTTCGGGATCCGGTGATGATCTCAAATAGATTGTCGCGCTGCAGGAGGTCACTTATGGAAATAAAGTTGTTGCACCACATCAGTCTTATTTGTAGAGGCAGTTAGGTCCAAAACTACTTGGTAAAAGCTTTGGCAAAAAGCAATTCCTAACGGAGTGTTTTTAGGGTCAAGGTCAAAAGTTTTTGGAATAGATCAGTACTCTTACTCCGCTGCGGCATGTTAAAAACTATGACAAAAAGTGTGTTTGTGTTCCAAACACTTGACAAGATGACAGAGAGCGTTATCTGGCTGAGCACATAATGCGTGCGTTTATAATCAATTACAAGCACATGAGAAGGGGTGGGAGAGTGCAAGTTGGGCTCTGCGGTCACACTGACTCACCCTGATTTGACGAGGCATTCGTGAACTTTCTGAATGTCCCGGAGGGGAATGGCTCGCAGAGGTTCTTTGTCCTGATACGCACATGCACAACAGAGGTAAGCGGACGGAGCGCGACACAGATAAAGATCCGCGAGGGACAGCGCGCGTTCCCTTACCATCTCAGACTTGTAGTAACTGACCGCGTTGTTATCGAGGGTAAAAAAGCGCCTCTTCCAGCTTTTTCTCTGAAACCCACGCCGCAGGACATGATGTCAGTTCCTCATGCGGCGCCTCCATTCAAACACACTTTGCAAGTAGGTGAGGTGTACTCACAACATTGCCTTGTTTGACACAGTAACCGAACCTCAGCACATTAGGCTTGACGCTCTCGTTCTGCAACATGATGATCGCTTTATTATCACAACCAAGTGTCATCAAAACATCGTCCGCATACATGTTTTTGGACAGAGCAAGTTCGCCTTGTGCATGATCACGACAGCACGAGTTGTAGTTTTGGGGGCGTGCGCTTACCAGGATGGGCGTGTGCACCACCACGCCTCCGTGGATCTCCGTCTTATATGCTTGCTGTTTCCCCCCTCCGTAAGAGTCACTCGTAACAGTGGCCACATCAGATCTTGGAGGTGCAGGACCAGATTTAGGAACCTAAGTAGCAAACAATAAGTATGGTGTCACTTGCACAGGCACAAACACTCACACACAGCGAGTACTGTACATATGATCGCAATGCATGAGCCACAATATTGAGTACACCTTGCCCAATCTGCAGTTGTGCGGAGTGGTACCAAAGTGGACTACAGTTGAATATGACGCAAATATGACGAAATATGTTTAATTAACAAAAACAACGCAGGACCAACAAAGTACAACTCAGGACGCTGGTCACAAAGAACCAGGAAAATGCGCAACAAACCTAAAGCGCTTGCAAAAGGCAAGGAATGAAAAAAGATAAATTACTTGTCGACTAAAAGGACAAGATAATCCAAAACACAAGAATACAAAACCGAGACGACACCATAATGAAAAAATACAAGAGAAAGTACAGTCATACCTCGGTTTTCGACCATAATCCGTTCCAGAAGGTTGTTCGAAAAGCGATTTGTTCTAAATCTGAAACTATTAGCCCATGATTCGGGATTAACACACTATGCAGAAATAACATAAAAAACAGTCAGATTTGCGTAAATCACAACAAACACGTCTGCTCACAATGAACGCTACATGAGGAAGCATCACTTTCTCGTGTAAGGAAGCCAAGAGGAGTGGAGTGGCGTATTCGGGTTTGCTCAGTTTTGTCGAAAACCGGTTTTCGCTCGTAATCCGAGGTGTAAAAATCTCGAATTTTCTGGTCGAAATCCGATTTGGTCGATAACGGAGACATTCGGAAACCGAGGTTTGACTGTACGTGGCAAAACTATGAGGCAAAAATCGAGAACGGCTACAAAATTGAAGCACTTGGAAACCGGGTCGTGAGCAAGGTTTAATAATCCGACCACCAGCTGTCGGCGTGGCAGAGCTTTTAAAGCAGCTGGTAACAAGGTGGGGTTTCATGAGGTAAAGCCCTCCTATGCTTGTCTTAGTTTTTCACTTATATGAAAGCTAATCATGTAAAAATGCTACTTAAAATATTGCCTAAACATTTCATAAAGTGCTGGTGAGAGTTTGGGCCCCGGAATTGATTCTCTTCGAGAATTTCCCTCCAGGCACCACACATAAGTGGTACTGTAAATTAAATGAAAATGTTTTGGTAACCTCAATTCACTAAATGAAAGAAGCAAAGCTTTCTTAAAACAACTGTACCACACCGCGAATAAACAATTGGTTAAATTAATGTCTGTATCAATCTAAATGGGCCCTTATTATCTTGCGAGGGAAGAATGTATGTTACAGTGTAACTCTGGCATAGCACCACATTCGATTGTGCTGCTTTTCTGTCATGTTAAACAGTCATGAACAGGGGGTGAGCTTAAAAAAAAAAGAAGTACCCACAAGTGAGAGATGTATCCTCTCAAGGGTCGCATTCTTTGGAATAATTACTGCTAAACACAAATGACGAAATGCGATTTCAGGGCCTTATTGTTGGTGTCTCAGGATGTGGCTCGAAACGAGCGTTCAGAGTGTTCGTAGATGTACAGAGAACTGGCACAGCAATAGAAAAACATTCAGCGTGTGGAAGTTGAAACGCCTTTTTAATGGCAGAGCTATTACACAAACGGCCAAACTGGTTTGAGGTGATTGAAGAGGCAACTCACACAACCACTCGAGGAAGAATGAAGAGCAGACAATATGCTGTTAAAGACAATACTATCATGCGATAATTTGCCACAGGGAGCTGAAGCCGTGTCCTTATAAGGAAATTTGGCTACATTTTTTTCTGAAAATAAAAAATAAATAACGAATTGAGTATCCTTAAAGAAAAGCGTTCCGCAGCAAAACGATCATTGTAGTTTTAGAGGTTCTGCGCTTCGGCCGTTGACATTAAATTCATTTCTTGCTTTAACGATGAAACTAGAAAGGATGACATACTACTATATAATCTATTCGAAGCAATCTGTAATTACTAGTGCAAAGGAAAATCAGTGTAAGCAAGGTTGGTTAAAAATTGAGAGTGGTAATCAACGATGTTTAAAACGGAACAAATTCCTCAAGTCTGAAGATAATCACTGGAAAATCGTGCCAAGCTCTTAAAAAAAAAAAACTAAAGCCGGCGTCAGACTACACGAAGGTAGCTCGATTTTTGACCCGACCAGACAAATGTCGTGTCTTGTAGCTGATTTTAAGTCGTCTTGACTCGTTGTAGCTCGTGTAGTGTGACACACTCAAAGATTGACCATAGTTTGGCATGTCGGAATTTTTGTTCGTCTTGCTGCATAATGTGACATCTCCTCAGTCGTCCTTCAATTCGTTTTTCGGCATTGACCAATAGGAAGAAAGTGCCCACCTACTTATGACGAGAGACTGGATACGGCGCGTGCAAGCAAAATGTTATGTTCAGTGTTCAAAAAGTAACTTGCACAAAAGAGGAAATATCGCAAAGTACACCAAGCATCTCAACTCATGCTACATTTGCAAACTGCAAAGCTAGTAATTGAATCTTGACGGAAGCACGCACCGATTGGGCAGCGCTTGGTTGGGGACGGACTTATCGAGCAACAGCTCGCCCGGTCCAAGACACACAACAATATTTATCTGTTCGTCTGACAGCGACCGTCATGAACGACAAAAAAAAAAAAAAAAAAAGCCGTGTAGTTTGACAAGGCCATAAAGTGATGTTTTGGTGTGTGCTACACTCACCGTAATCTTGCTGGCTTGGTTGAGAGCAGTGACCCAGTCCCTCATATCTGTCACGTCATTGGCTTGGAGGAAGTACCTTCGGGATACTGCATTGATGACTGTGGGGAAGAAAAAAAAAAATTCAATAGCTGTTCCATACCCCCCTATAATTACTGCTTTATATCAGTTTAGCAAATGTATAAATAATGTTTTTTTTTTTCCTCAGTTTAGCAAATGTATAAATAATGTTTTTTTTACAGTGTGTGACTATGACTCAGTGTTTCCCTGAGGACTCACCAAAGCAGAACTCTGTCTTTGGCTTCTGCTTCCCTGTAGTTTCATTTACCTGACAGAAAAGCAGACTGAATGTCAAGCATGCGTTATTTTGTTTTGGAGAATATAGCTTCAATGGAAGCTATGCTCCGTAAAAGCACAGCGTACACCCATAGTCACATATTGTGTAGCGTAATGTACACAATATTTTGGTTTACTCTCTGTAATGTGATCCGTGTGATGAATGATAAGCAAGTAAAAACAAGATTGAGATGAAGGAAGCAAAGTCGCACTACATTTGAGGTTTCAACACCGTGCTCCATAATCACAGATCACAACAGCACTTCCCCTGAGAGAAAATATCAATTATTCAACTTAGACCCATATCATATTCACTTCTGAACTCAGAATTATGCCAATGTATTTAAATCTGGTCACTAAAAGCAGAACAGTTGACATTTGGCCCATTATTTTACAGTTTCAAAAAGTGGAATAAGTGATTCCGGAGTTAGAAGTTCACATCTCTTGACTGTGACTGTCCAGAGAGAAGCTGTCAGCGCCGAGACCAGATGTGATTATCTCTGCTCAAGTCAAACATCTGGAATTCGTCAGCAACTCTGCTGAGGCTCAACTCTGCATGTGACCATTAGCTTCGGCTGCAGATTGATCAGCCTGTTTCTGATCATGTGGTACCGCACGAAGGAAAAAAGCGTCACAAACATTCTGTTGTTACAAAGAGAATGGACACTGTCGGTGAGGTATGAACTTAAACATGAAGCTTGAAAAAAAAAACGTTTTGAGACAGCTTGTGGGGAGTGTGGAGGTTGATCAACAGCAGCTTTATCAAGTAATGTCGATTGATCAACGATGGGGACAAATAACAATCACTTGTTGCTTGAGAGGCTGTCTTTGGATGTTCCCGAAAAAGAATTATGATTCTTGGGGTTGTACCATAGTAGAAGGTGACATGGTTTTAACTCAAGCTCCCGTAAATGTCATGTAGTTCTGTTAATCACAAATCTATATTTATTCAGCAATCGATGCAAATTTCTTACATTGACAGACAGAAAAAAAATGCTCCTTCATTAGAGGGCAGAAGGGACAATAAACCGATTGTATCCAGCTGTTGCCATACATACAAAATAAGTCATGGCTAGCTGCAAATGCATCAGCTTTGTGTTCAATTGAACAAGAGCAGATTTCACCCTAAGTAAGTCAATTTGTGGGGAAACTGAGACGAGATGAGAATTTTTGTTTGATGATATGCTGAGAGAGTTTTCTTCTGTAAAGTGGGTGCCTTAGCTCCATTTAGTTTGAGAAAGCCAAAAAGTGAAAAAATCAATTGAACACAATAAACCAAATTCTTAATCCATAAACTGACTTATCTTTTACTATGGGCGACTCTATCAACCTTTTGTCATAGTAAAAGGAGATACTATTTTGGATTACTATGGGCGACTCTATCAACAGGTCTTTAACCTTTTGTCATAGTAAAAGGAGATACTATTTTGGCACATGTGGAATTCTCAGTTATTGTTCCAAATGCAGAGTCAACAACAATTAATCCAGTGTATCCCACTGGTGTACATTTATGGTCAGTTTTTGGTTGACACCATGAAAACAGGTGCAGACTAAGCATTACTATAGGGAATCAACAAATGATTCGTTTAATAATCGATTAATCTGGCAATTATCTGGTCGATTAATCGATGAAACTGATTTTATTGCCATTCCTAGAGTCAAACACATGAGAGTATTTCAAACTGACAGTGCAGAAAATTCAACAAATTCTGATTCAGTAACTGGTTTTGTCAGTAACATGTAAGACAATAAGCAAGAAAGTTGATCATTGTTTTCCAAAGTAAAACAAACGTTCGATGTTGACTCAACAAAAAGATAAGAAATCTGCTTTCAAGAAGGACGACATAAACCTGAAAATATTCACTGTCGCGAGGCTGACATTCCGAGGATTTGGACAATGAGGTCTCCAAAAGATTACCGGTAGTTGATTACCAAAATAATTCATTTGATAATCGAGTAGTTATGGATTACCAAATTAACTGTTGCACCTCAACATTATCTTTGTAAAGGCAGAATGTTTGTTACCACGACTTTATTGGATCTGGTTACATTGTGTGCAAGTGTACCTCGTTTAGTGACTACTGAGTGTTTTTTCAAATTCCAGCAGTGGAAGTAAGTGAAAGCTAATGTTGAGGTTTACCTTGGAGATATATGTTAGTCTCAGGCTGCCAACAAAGCTTGCTCCACTGGGCAGGTTCTGCATGATAAACACACACGCACGCACGCACAAATGCACACACACACACACACACACACACACACACACACACACACACACACACACACACACACACACATCATAGGATCACAGTCCAAGGTTACCCGGGCTCATATTGGTCACTTCCTTTTGCTATTTGTCCAAGTGTGTTGTGTCATACAGTGATGCACAAAGCACCTGAGGGTTGTCCATGTACCACAGCAAAGCATTCCCCTGAGTGTCCAGGATGAAGTAACGCCTCTGGAAGCGGCAACTGTTTTCTTTCTCTTCGATATCCAGGAAGCCACACACGCGGTTCAGACGATCGACGTACGGCATGGTGCTGCTATCACATATCACTGAGACACACACGCGCGCGCACACACACACACACACACACACACACACACACACACACACACACACACACACACACACACACACAATTGGGATTCGTGGAAAGAAGAAGAGCTGAGGGAGATGCACGTACAATAAAAGTAGCCCCGTGTTCCTTGCACGCACACACCCAGGAAGCGAGAGAGTGAGCATCTCACACTCAGCAGTTTTTCATGTGACGTGCTTGAGGCTGAGCGGCAGCTAAAGGCTGAGGCGAAGCTTAGGCCCTCCACCAAAGCCAAAAATTACAGACTGCACTCAAGATCTGCACACATTCCCCCTGGCCAGACACCAGGCTGGTGGTGGTGGTGGTGGTGGTGTGGGCGGGTGCGCATAGATCGTAAAATGTATTCATTAAGACGATGCCATGCGTGTGAATCAGCGAGTCATTCACCTCTGAGAATTTCGTATGCGCAAGATGTTTAGTGGTGTACCAGCACACAATGTCATCCAGTCAACGTCATGCGCTCACACACACAGCCAACACACAGGCAGTTTTTAAGAAAGGGGTCAGATGAGTGGCAAGAGTTGAGCCTTTAATAATGTTGTCATCCTATTTATCGGGGAAGTCAAATTAAAAAAATCTTGACAAGAATATGTTCTATGCGCCTTCATTTGTGTCAACACATTTTTCTGATTAATATTGTGTTTTACGGAATACGAACTAAACGGCACAACTGACCACTTTTGACCCTTCTCAAGGGGCGGCCATTTTGCCACTTGCTGTTGATTGAAAATGACATCACAGGGCCGAAGGGTTCAGCTTATGAATGTCACATGGCCAAATCCAGAAGACAGGTGAGCCGTGATGGACGTTACCTGAGCCCTTGGGCACTGTGATGTCACTTTCAATCGACAGCAAGTGGCAAAATGGCCGCCCCCCGACATGGATAAAAACAGTTGGATTTTGTCGCTTGGTTCATATTCCACAAACACAATATTAATAAGAATATCGTGTTTAGACTAGTGGGGCTGCATGCATGTTATTGTAAAGAAAACATTTTGACTTGACCTCCCCTTTAAGTTCCTGCGTGATGTCCAATGCTCTCTCAGGATCGCTGTAGACTGAATGAAAAATGATACAGCGACTCTTTGCACCCGATCAGATGCAATACATAAGAGGGACAAAATAGAAAAAAAAATGCTCAGCATCATGCAACGTCTTACAGTATCACACGAAGCATTATCATGTCTGTTAAGACTGACTTAGAATGCAGCTGTTGTCCAGTATGTAATTAAATTGTGCAAGCAAGTGTGCCTAATGTTGCGGCCAATGAGTGCATGGGACACACAATCAGGAATAAATGGAGCTCCAAAACAAACAGTCGTGCCTTCAAACCGGTTAGAAGACACCAATTATCTACATTGCCGCTAAAATGCTGACAAGTAATAATCATCACGGCCAAGTGGAACTCTTGTATGAATAGCTTTGAAACCATGAATATGCTACCTCAGTGCTTCTCAGATGACACCCAAAATACAGTTGATGGCTAAAAGCCTCGGAGAAAAACACACAGCCCAAAAAGGAAAATGGCACTGCAGTAGTCTCACGCACACACACGCGCACACACACACACACACACACACACACACACGCACGCACGCACGCACGCACGCACGCACGCACGCACGCACGCACGCACGCACGCACGCACGCACGCACGCACGCACGCACGCACGCACGCACACACACACACACACACACACACACACACACATATTGACACACATGCCACACAAATGCACATGAGATTTTAGGATCATAAAACATCTGGTCCAACCATTAAGGGAAGGAACAGGGAAGAGATGGTGGCATTTTCGGGAATGCACACATATATTTCATCTAAACAGTGATAATAGCCCCAAACATCTGTTTTTTTTCAGGACTTGTTCAACCTCTCCTTTTTATTTTATGAGACTACTTAGTGACTGGAAGCATATGTAACCTCATCAAAGTCTGGCACAAATCAGAACAACGACAGGAAGGCCCCAAAGTGATGCAATGGAGGCAGAGATTCTTTGAAAAATGCACACTATTTGCACTTCAGTGAAGCCCCAATAATTGACTGCATTTTTTTTTCAGCTAAATTCCTCTACTTTTAATGGAGTAATTGCTCATACAGTGGGACTGGGGAATTATGGAAAAAATAATAATCGTGATTCTTTTGAGTGATATTGAAATGATGATTAATAAAACATGACTGTATTTTCAGGACCGATGAAATTACCGAACACACCACAGTGGAACAATGAAAATGGACCGAGTCCACCTTCATACTGAACATTGATCAGCCATTTGTGGTTGGAGTGCAAACGTATGAGAGAGGTGCAGAGATAGAGAGAGACAAATGCGGAAATGCGTGTGCATAGTGGTGCTGTGTAAGAAGCAATTGCAATTGAAATACCTCATGTTGCAGGTTACATTTAGTACAGAGTAATGACAAGGGGTTACTTTATACAGTGTCGTATTTGAGTGAATGTTCAAGTAAAGTTTGTGTTTTCAAACAATATATGATTCAAATAAAATTCATTTTCGTCATAACTGGAAAATGCAATGGCATTATCAAGTATTGGTACTCAGTATCAGCAAGGACTCAAATGTGGACAAAGATGGCACTTTAGTGTCAATAGGAAGGTGCAACTCATGTGAGTTAGGGCTGTCACTAGCACAATATTTTTAGAATCGATTACATTGGTCAAAAGCAAATTTGAATCTTTTTTTGACGCTGATTTCAAAAGTGTGTTTACTTTTTTTCCCTTGGACATCAGGTATCTGAGATATTTTCTTTTTTTGTGGTTTTTAAGTGAGACCATAAAAGCTTCCGTAATACGGATTTTACCATGCATTATTATTTATATCTATGACATTTCTGGAAAAAAAAATCCACTTGTTGCTGTACCTAACCCTTAATTCATAAATATTAGAGAATATTTTATAGATTTATATTACCAGTACTGCATTATTATTATTATTATTAATAGTAGTAGTAGTAGTAGTAGTAGTAGTAGTAGTATGACAACCTAATCTGCTCTAAAAAAAAACAATAAAATAAAAAACCAAGGGCAGATTTGTAATCAGTGCAAAAAATTAATCTGGAAAAGTTTACTTGCATCTCTGGTTGAAAAAAAAATTCGTGAAAATTTGGTGGCCAGTGTTATTCGTATACAGTACTGCATTCCAAATCAGATACAATTCTATCTTGCATTAAAGTGTATTATAAAACCATTTTTTCCTCAATTACTGTTTCTTAATCTTTTTCTTTTGGCTATAGACTATGCTTTAGCCCATAAACCAGGGGTGTCAGTCAGATCACCCAGGGAATGGAAATTGAGGCAATGTAGAATGGATTGGTTTTCTTTTGTTACCTGTAAAGGGGAAGTCAAGTTGAATTATTTTTCTTATATCTTCTATACACCCCAATATTGTGCTTGTGGAATAGGAGCTAAGCAGCAAAATCTACCAATTTTCATGCATCTCAGGGGGCAGCCATTTTGCCACCTGCCGTTGACTGAAAATGACATCACAGTAGCTCAAGGCTCAGGTGACGACCATTCACGAGTCATCTTTTGAATGTCACATGACCAAACTCATAAAACAGGTGAGGCCTGATTGTTTTTTACCGAAGCCCTGCACTACTGTGATGTCATTTTTATTTGATGGCAAAATGGCTGCCCCTTGGGATGGATAAAAATGGGTAGATTTTGCTGCTTAACTTCTATTCCACAAGCACAATATTGGGGTGTATAGAAGATATTATAAGAAAAAAAATTCAACTTGACTTCCCCTTTACAGGTAACAAAAGAAAACCAATGCATTTTACCGCTTAATTCATATTTCACAAATGCAATATTAATGTGAATGGCATGTTTAAACTAGTGTGGGCGGATAGAAGACATTATTGCGAAGAAAAACGTTGACTTGACTTTCCCTTTAAGCATGAAGCATGCAATATAAATGAAGTATTGATTAGTTGATAGTGTTAAGTTATAAAATGATTGAAAATCCCTAAAAGGGTTTGCTGCAGTAAACGGCCATGGCACTTGGTCTTCCACGCCAAACTCTTTCAATCATTCTTTGATGGACTTGTTTTGTGCACTGGGGCACTGGAACAAAAAAGGGCCTTCCCAGAAATTGATCCCATTAAGCTCTAAGTTTAAATTTGTCTCAAACGTTTGGTAAAATGAAGCGTTAACAGTACTGGGACGAACCCAAATTGGGATTTACAAATTTATTGATAAACATGATCATTATCCATAACGTCAGATGACAGCCATCGAGTTTACACACACCCCTTTTATGTGGCAACCTTGATTTCCCATGAAGCATTAGGTACAATGTGGCACAAAAGTATTGATAAAAAAATGTGAGGTGCTAACAGGAAGTACAAATTGGGTCATCTTGGCGCGTGCATGCACAACGTGACGATGATGATGAGTGTCAGGATGATGGTGATGGTGGTGATGATGATGGTGGCACTCTTGATTACGATGAAAACTTTTAACGCAGACTTTATTCAGCGACACCTGATATGCTTGCGTCGACCAACGTTAAACACACACACGCACGCACGCACAAGTACCACTGTGTGGACTCACCCGCTTCGCAGAGTCTTGTCCCAACACAACCAGTTTCCAGGACCGCTAGGAAGAACACTTGTGACAGCAGTTGACCAACATGGCGGAAGCCAACCAGTTTCAGAAACAACTTTTTTGAAGTCCAGCACGCACCAGAAGACCCTGCCCGCCTTGCCTATTTATTCGTGTGATCGGATAACACAAAAGTCCTGTTCTTGTTCGTCTTTCCGGGTTGAACGTTCGTTATTAGAATAAAACCAGCCCCGGATGTTATCCCCCGCCTCCTCCTCCTCCTCCTTTGCACTGTTCATATGAGGAACTACCAGACACCACTGAACTAAATGGCGCGTTCTTGAACCCCAACACTGCATTTCAACGGGATAATCCGTGTAACCGCAGTCTGCGTTCAGTTTTTTTGGAGTTGACCGTGTGTGCGGAATGTGCGCGCTCGTTTGTTATCTGTTGTTGACGCTGCCCAAGTAGGTCAAGCGCAAACACACTTCAGCGTTTTCCCGACCTTGAGCCGAGGCACGTATTTTAAGTTTAAAAAAAAATGTGACGGCACTCAACCGAATGCAAATGTCACAAAAGGTGGTTACATTAAGGATGTACCTTCTGCCATCTAGTGGAAGACCATTTGGTTGTTCTGCCTGTCACTATACGTTGATGGCAAAAAACAGACGAACAAAGACTTATTAGGAGTCAATCAATATTTTTGGGAGCAACCAGAACGGTTGACAGATGTTCACATTTTTTAAAATCAGAGATAAAAGTAAACCTTTCTAGATTTTTTTTTGTGCTGATTCTAAATCTGTCCTCATTTTCCCCCTTCAAATCAGGTTTTTAACATGATAATAACATAATATGTAATCTACTAATATATTGAGTAAGATTTATGAATTAAGATTTAGGTTCAGCAACAGGTCAATTTTTTCTGGAACGTTATAGCTATAAATTACAACACAGTAAAATCCGTCTTGCGCAAGCTTTTATAGGTCAAACTTGAAAACAAACAAACACCCCCCCTCAAAAGCCTGATGTGCTCGAAAAAAAAGTAAAGGCATTTTTTGAATCAGCATCAAAAATATGTTTAGGGACACATAAAGACATCTCAGATTAAAATTTGCTGTTGACTTGTGCTTGTGTAGTTTGAAATTGTGATGTTTGTCACAACGATCTCTCACAGCTCAACTGTTGAAGGTGAGCGGGACAGTAACATTCTCAATGCATATGTTCCAGTCCATATGATTACTATGAAATTATTATTATTGTTATACACAGATATGGGAATGTTTGTGATTTTGCCTTTTGCACACCACCCCAGTGGTTTGGAAATAAGATGTAGTGGTTTGATTAAACTATGGCAAAATATTCATTTTTCATTCTGGAATGACAAACAGGAAAACCTGAGGGTATGGGTACATAGTTTGAAGTGGTTCAGACCCTGAAATTTAATTTTTGTAAAAAATATGTAATTCCAAAGTGTGGTGGCCACTTATCGTGAATCCTCCGACATTAAAGCTGAAATTCTCCATCGTAAACATCCATTTGTTTTATTTCATCATTGTAATTATGGATAAACGCAACATTACTCCTCACTGCTGGTGGTCTTTAATATTTGACACAATCGATTTGCTTTAATTATCTTTGAAGAAGACAGTAGGTTGTGAATTATGCTATAGTAAAACTAAAGTTGCTGAAGTCATAACAAGTTCCATCCTTAAGCACACAATTGGGTGATGAAAGCTTGAGATATATTAAAAACAGAGACTATGTGGATGCCCCTTGTCTTTAATTACGTCTTTGAGCATTTGGAGACACCTCATGAAGGCTACGCGCTCCTCACTTCATACTTGCCAGCTGTCTTCCATCATGCTCATCTTTTGCTGAGCGAAGAGCTGCGACTGCCTGTTAAGAGGAAGTGGTAGCACATCATATGACCTGATTGGGGCCTCAGATCCACCCCACTCATTTCATATCCTGTCACTTCAAGACAACCTAGTGGATTATGTACCGGTAGTGAAATGTGTAGAAAAGTATGGTCGTCACTGTATCTTTTATTTACACAAGCTGACATGAAACAAATAAAAACAATTAAAGCACTAAACACAGCAATTTTGAGGGGGGAAAAAAACCCATTCTTCATGCTCATGCTTATTATAATATACATACCACTAAAAATAAGTGACGGACATGCACCGAGGCTCAAACAGTAGTCAAGTGCAGATTCTATAATGATGAGGAATAAAAGACACAAACATTTAAAAACATACCAAGCACAAGAAACTAAAAACGGATTTATCGAATGAGATTTGAATACGGTGCTTAACCGGTGCTTAAGAACATATTAAATGGAACTCCCCCTTTCTGACAATATCAACGATTTATCAACGTAGTATCAGATTTTTATCAATATGTCGCACTTTCTTTCTATAAATCTCTGCAAGTGTTTACATATTCAAATGATCACTTCTACAACTTTCCTAGGAATTCACAATGTCCCATCACTTGTGAGCTAATTTTATAACAGGCCCGCTCGGCTACTCATGTGGTCCTTGGGGGGCTAACTGGTGCACACGGGCACCATGTTGGACCCATATTGGTTACTGATTGTTGAATTGTGTGATATGGCCTTATTATCCGATTTTTATTTGACGCTATACTGTAAGTTTTGTGGAAGAGTCCAACTGGGGACTGGAGTTGAAAATGAGCACAAGCTATAACCAAAAAGATTGGATTAAAAAAAAACAAAATTCCAAATTGGGCATCAAGCTCTGCAGTGTGAACGTACTAACGTAGCCAATGTGTGACTTTCAATTAAAGTTTTTTTTTTTAACTAGGTAATGTGATCTAGTAAATGTTATCAGATTAAAAAAAATATTGCAGCCTTTAAAAATGACACATTGTTCATGTTGTGCATATGCAGATTATGACCACCATCAAACATAATGGCAGTCTGTGTTTAAAATAAAGATCCAAGTTTTAGAAAGAAAAGAACCCACCAAATGTGGATGAGAACCAACTTGTTGAGGCGACAATGAACTGACTAGGCTTGGAAGACTGCCATTAAACATAACTTTTTTTTTTTTTATAGCTCACACTCTTCAAATTGCTTTAACCACAGGAACGCAGGAACTCATCCTAACATTCAAAAGGTGGTAAAAATCTCAGTGGGGCACTGCTGAAAGAGCGAGTGGGAGCGGTGGTTGAATCGTGTGATAAAAGAGAATCACCGTAGGCGAATACAATAAACAGTGTTGTTAGGAGTGTTTACATGTGGCTGAAGGATATACGCAAGAGCACGGCACTGAGCAGCAGGACAGGGTTGCTGGACAGAGCTGCCGTGCCGCTGCGGTGCTGATCTCCCTGGCTGTGGCTCCTGTGCGGGCCGTTACAGTTGTCGCCATAACAACATTCCATCTTGGCACCGGAGTTGCTACCGTGAGCTTTGTCACAGAAAGCCTTGTAGGTGCACGACTTCAGTACGGTGTCTGAAAGAGAAGTCACACAAAGTCCAAAGTTCAAGATCCTCCAAAAGAGGACACTGTCTGGGACACTGTGGAACGGTTGGGAAATAGTTGCATCCTAAAATCTCAGAATTCATAGTCACTACTCTGAATATTTAGTTACATGACCTCATCAGAAATCTGTGCGGCCCAAGTTAAGACCATCCAGCAGTTTATTCAATATTCTAAAATCCAGGAATACATTCTTTTCTCAGACCCTCATATGTATCAGTCAAGCCCCGCCTTTAGCCCCAGGAGAGAAAAAAAATCTTGGAGCAATCCCTCTACAGAACATAGCACGGCCATGAGAAATGTCACGAAATGAAGACGGTGGCGTACTAAATACATGATGTAACTCCGAAACTCAGCCTGGCTTTTTCATATGTATGCTCATGTGGATGTTTGTTGGATTTACTGACGAGGTCCAGTGATGGTGGCGCAGGCATCAGCGTACTGCGGGCAGGAGGCGGAGCCTTGTTTGTTGCAGTCATCCTCGCTGGATGCTGCGCATGTGTGGCATTTCAGGGCACCGCCTTGGCAGACAGAACAGGGGAGAACAGCTGATTTGAAACTAAGCATGTACACTCACCGGACACTTCATTAGGTACATGTGCACAAACAAATGACATCCGGTATGTTATTTCTTCTTATACGGCAGCAAACTGCAATCACTGAACATTGAGCATTGTCATATTTCTAAAGATAGAACTGACCTGACATTTTATTAGATATCATTAGACATTGCATTTGTACCTGCTGAAGTGGCCAGTGTATGTTTGCAGGCTAACTGCGCGCACACACACACACACACACACACACACACACACACACACATTATATTTTATATATATACATACACAGGCACACACACACAGACACACACACACAGAAACACACACATACACACACACACACACACACACACACACACACACACACACACACATTGCTGTCTAGTGATAAAAAAAAATTATCAATTGCAAAATTTTCCATTAATAATAATTAATCACATTTTTCGCTGACTATTTTCTACAACGCCTGTAACATATATGTACTTGAGTAAAATCTTGAAATTACTATCAAATCAGAAAATTTAAAGTATTTTTAGGTTTAAAGACTGATCGAATAACTTTCTTTGATCATTGAATACAATCGTTCTCCGGGGAAATACAAACGTTGATCAAAACGATCAAAACTGACTCAGCCTTACAGGCATTTTTCTTATAACTTCCTCATAGAAACAATTCTCAGAACTTCACAATGAAAATTTTTCACACGAGCACCACACTCCAGCACCATTGATTTGCAAGATAACTTGAGGAGGGTATTTTGGTTTGAGACGATACGCCAAAGACATACAGTACAACTAATATGGCATCTGAATTTGGCTTTATAAAGTGCGCAAATTTCTTCAGATTTTTCCACCAAGTGTCAATTAAGTCGCGGATCTGAAAAGTAATAACTGTTGTTCTACATCAAGATGGCAACGGCCCGGAGAAGATCTGACCATGCCACACAGTGCTTCAAGTCTGTCTGCATGGCTTTCACAGACGGAAGCCTCTTCTAATGGTGAGTCACAAGAAAGCCAGCAGAGTTTACTGTAGACAATTCGACGACGTGCATGGATTATTGGACCCATGTCCTGTGGTCTGATGAGACCAAGATAAACTTTGGTTCACATGCAGCAACCAGCTAAGTTTGCTGCACGGTCAAGCATGCTGGTGGGCGTGTCATGGTTTCGCATAAAATGCTGCCGGCAGAAGTTCAGAACAATCAATGCCAACCAATACTGACTTATTGACACGCATGATCCCGTTGTTTTGGAATATAGGCAGCAGGGCAGTATTCCGGCATGAAAAGCATCTTGAAAACACACCTCCCAGATGGCCATTGCTTTGCCCAAAGGTGGTGGACTGACCAAGCTTGTCTCCAGATTTAAACCCTATCGAGCATCTATTGGGCATCCAGCAATAAAGAGGTGTTGGAGCACAAGGTCTCTACACAATATTTCATATTGTTTTTGTTCCATGAGAAGATGTCATATCAACCAAAATGAGAGTTGTTCTCACTTTTGACCAACTGAATTTTATCCAAAAATCCTGAGCTAAACTTCCAATGAAACATTTTTGATCCACACGCAAGTACACACTCACTTGCTTCCCATTACAGCGTCCCCTTGTTTATAGTTCCAAAACTATTTCGCAATAGGTGAAATCTGTGAAGTAGAAAACTTTTGCAAACCTCACCATTAACCTTGTCTCACATTTAAACACGCTCAAAGTTTAAACCTTTACAAAAAACAAGATACAGTATTATTGTTGTGGTACTTATTAATTTTATAATGAAACAAAGGTCAAAAATTGTTTTAATCTTCCTGTTATGTGGGTCAAATTGACAAATTCTGTCCTGCTCGGGAGACATGTCATGGAGCAGATGGATTCAAAGTTATTTTAGCCCAACATGATGCAGAATTCAATGCAAAGGGTGGTGGGCGGTGGTACACCGCATAAAAAACCCAGCATGCAGAACTACACTGTAAAAAAATCACAGGAAGTCAATTAGGACACAATGCGGGTTTGTGAGCTGTAAAAAATACAAACAGCATGCAGAACTACAATATAAAAAATTCAGGAAGTCAATTAGTACACAATGTGAGCAGCATGCAGGATTGCATTTGAAAATAAAATCAGCAATCTAGCGAGTCTGCGAAAGGTGAACTGCGATAGAGCGAGGGACCACTTCCACAGTGTTATTCCAAACTTACTGTGGCCAGCCAGAGAGAGGACCAGCAGCAGGACAAAAGGAGCCTTCATGGTAGCAAACAACGGGCCCAAGCGGTTGAGAAGAGACAGTGACAGAGATGGGAAGGAGTATGCCCGAGTTGGACGCTTCAGACATTAGGAAGCATTAAAGTCTAATCTCTCTAATCTCAATTTATGCTGCACAGCAAGAAGCCTGCACTCATGGATTTACAACAACCTCTAACAGTTTTTCTTTTGGTGGACCGACTGAGTTTTAATAGGTGAACGTTCCAAAGAATTCAAGCCGTCAGATGGGATGTGTATGGAGGTGTTGGGTCGTGATTAACATCACTAGTATGGTGCAAGCTGTGACGAATTGTACGTACCGGCAACGCATACTGGGAATGAAAACAGCTGTCGCTATGACGCTTGTGTCACTCAGGTCACCTACATCAAAACAAACAGGATTTTTGTTTTGCAATCTTCAAGATAAAAGTTTCCTGATGGATTTTTTTTTTTTTTTTTTTTGGATAAATAGAATAGAAAAGGTTATCTCACTATAATAGTGCATTTTACTCACCGCTTATTGTATGCAGCTCAACACAAAATTGAGATGCAGTAATGCAATAAAACAAAGTGACTTTGGAAATCAATGTGGTACATTCGTAGGTTTGTGCGAGGACTTTACAAAGCTCACATCAAGTTCTGGTTAGTCTTTTTATTTAAACAAAGAATCTCATTTCATGTTAGGTGCTTTTGGGGGAATATTTGCATTGACATTTAAACCAAAAAGAAAAAAAAAAAACTAACAAAGTGTGACCAGAAAAGAGTGGCATGAACTAAAACACATCATGGTTATGAGTGCAGTTGTAAACATGAAAGTGAAAGCATACAGAACAGACCGGTAATACGATTAATAGTGGACTGATCAATGTCAGTTTGCATTAACCCAGAAGTAACCTGTGTAAGAATGTAATGGAACCATAACAAAAAAAGCAATTGGCAATTTAATATTTGCAATTTCAGCATCAACTGACCTTTTGTTAAAGGTCTGTGCTCTGTTGTAGTTATTGCTATAAACATTGCTTGATAAATCATTTGTCTTAATTTCTATGATATTAAGATACACGCAGGAGCAGGTCATCGATGATGGTGTAAATTTAGTGCTGAGCCATATTGGGTCTCACTCTCGAGTTCCAATCTAGCTAATGCTGTAGTGACAAGACAAGAAAAGAAAATGGCACCGGTAATAAAAAAAAAAAAAAAAAAAAAAACGACAGGGAAATTATTGATCGTCGGCTTTTTTATTTTTCTAATCAAATGCTGTGCAATATCAATGCTGTAGTGAAGTTGTAGAAGATTTGAAGCGATGGAAAGCAGTCCAAAGCCATTCAGATGCTAATGTCCACCTGAACTATAATCCACCTTGAGCCAATCTCTCTCGTCATTGTTCAGCCTTCCTAACCATCTGATGCCACGAGTCTTTCAGAAGAATAAATTATTCAGATTGTTGCTTTAACAAAAAACAACCTTTGTCCACGTTTCTCTGAGCACGCTTCAAGTCAAAAGTGACCACAGCACAGCCTGCCTTCAATACAATATCACCCTGCAGTAGGAGTTGCATGACATTTACGCCGTTAAGCTGTTGGGGATTTCAAATTGAACCACAAGCGTGTCATTGTTGTTATCCACTGGCAGGAATGGCCAAAAAGCACGAGGAGTCCACGAAATGCAATAAAAAATGGACGACTGCATGTGAAAAGAAAAAAAAAAAGTTCCTCGCGGCATGAGCTCAGAAACAGGAAGCCGTCGGAGACACCTGTGTGGAGGCAGTTTCGGGTGCAGGCTGGCACGGGATGGGGAGGAGCTTGGACATCTCGTTGGCTGGAGGCATGCACAGTTGTCATGACCGAACCACAGGATGCTTGTCTCAGTCTATTTTTCCCATTTTGGCAATGAGCTCATCGCAGATCTTTGTGAGCTCCTCAATCTCTTGATTCTGTTGCACAAAGCCAACGGAATGACAACGTGCTCATTTGACAAGCAAAAAGTGAGGCATTATCGGCTCGGGCCAGCTTGCCTTCTGCTGCAGGGCTTGTTCCAGAGATTCGTTCTTCATTTGCTCCTTCCTCAGGCTGGCAGTCAGCGCCAAGCTTTCCGAACCCGCCTTAGCGCGCACCTGTGCGATCTCTTCATTGGCCCTGAGTGGGGGGGGTGAGACCGTGCAAAGGGGGGCGTATTCATTTTTCAGCAACATCTCAAATGTTAATGGCACATTTTGTTTCAGGCAGGTCTTACTTGTCCAGCTTCTCCTCTGCGTGGACTTTAAGCGTCTGGTACCTCTGCTCCTCCTGCTTGACTCTGGCCAGATACTCCTGAGCACATTTTTTCAGCACCTCTTCGTTCTGTAGAGGAAGGACCCACGACAATTGCAGAATTATTTGACTGCGTGCATTTCTCCCATCTCTTTCCGTTGTGCTGTGTGGAGCACCAGAGCCCTCTGCTCCAAGAAACCTGAGTAGTGTATGTTGTTTTTTTTTTTTTTTCCTTTTTCGCTTTAAGGAAGAAATGATTCATTGCTCCATGTTGAGAAACCAAAATCCTGGGAAACAAATTTGTGGCGTGACATGAAGAAAAATGGCTCTGCCTGCTTGCCAAATGGACTGCCAGCTTCTGGCACACATCTTTTGACTCATACTGGTTTTGACCCCTTCGGGTCACCATAGTCCTTTTGTTTAGAATCATGGACGGGAGGCAAACAAATCGGTGTATTTCAAAAGCCATGTCACACCAAGGTTATTTCAAACAGGAGCTGGCAGTGAAGCAGAGATTGTATTTTAAACTCTCGGGTTGTGCCAAGACTACTTTGGCTTTCCTTTGTGTTTTGACCCCTTACATGACCACTGATTATAATTCCAGGGAGGACTCCATCTGTGCTTCGACTAGGTCCTCACTACTGACCTCCCTGAGCATGGAATTGAAGTCCTACTGCTCCCTAAACTACTCTCTGGGAAGCACAGTAGCACACTGTCACCTCATAGCAAAATCAACTACAGTCAAATGATATCTTGTGTGAGGTATGAAAATGGACAAAAATGACAATTTACTTTCTTAAAGCCTTCAAGGGTGCTCTTCATGTTCTCATAGCGCCGAAAAATATCAGACAAAGAGCGTTCTGTTGAGTTGAGGTCTGTCAACGCCGCCTCTTTCTCCATGGTTACAGCATGCAAAGCCTTCTGGGAGCTCAGGCTGTTTCTCTGCTCATCCTCTGAGGGAAGGAAATGATCAAAATCAATGATTCGAGAAAATGTTACTAAGAAACAATGAACAAGCAAGCACATTATTCCTGCAGGCAAATCACAAAATGCAATGGTTTGTTCCAGTTTTACTTTTGAATGCTTTCTTGTCTAAATAGTTTGGACTAACTCACCAATCATCTGAGCAATTGTCTTCTCATACTCTGCAACAATTTTTCTGTAAAAGCACAAAACATTTTGATTGCCGGTCTGTCTGTCCGTCTGTGTCTGTGTCTTGTGTCTTCCTCACCTCATCTCACTGACTTCCTGTCTGCTGTTTTCATACTTCCTCTTCCAGTCGTTGACTTCCGCCTCTTTAGTAATTATCTTAAAAAAAAAATAAAACTCATTGGGTGTGATCAGGAACAGAACATGCACACAAGCTGATAAAAGCTACCTCCTCTCTGATCAGGGTTAGAACGGCATTTTTCTCCTCCTCGCTGATGCAGATGGAGTCCAGCACCTCGTTTCCCGTTTTCTGCATGCTACTTCCTCCTGATTTGTTCTTCCACTTACTCGGGTCTTCATTGTGCTGGGGGAAGAGGGAAAACCAAACAGTTGCTTCATTCAGTATATGCACACAAACGGTATCTAAACATAGTGTGGGACCTCATTTTTTATCATGAACAGAGAAAGTACACTGGTTTCAAGATCCACTATTTGGCTAAATCAGACAACAAAAAAAGGATTTTAATTCCTTGAAGAAATTAATATTTACTGTAAACCAAACTTGTCTCTCAAACCTTTCTACCCTACACACCTTGCTCACCTCTCAGCCCTTGGCTCCCCCCCTCCCCCCACCTTGCAGCCTCTGCCCTTGCTTGGGATTAAAAAAGGCCCTTTCTAATCACCCGGGTGATAATCATAATCCATTTGTCACCTGATCAGAGGAACTCAGATTTCCTACCATGAGACACATAGGTTATTATCCTGTGGTGACAAGTGGAAATGCGCCCATCTTTGTGAAGTGTATTGTTGCTATAGCTTCACTACTTGCATTTGAGACCACCAAGATTATCTTTAGTGCAAACGTGATGTGACTTTTTAATGAATCCAGAAAATCAATCAAATAAATCCAATAGGTGCAGTTCTCACCGGTGTGCAGCTGTCTGGTTCTTCTGGTGTGGAAGACACATGGCAAATTTGGGCTGAAAGAGATCATTTCACATTGGGTACAAACACTAGAGCTTTGCAGTAATATGTCCTTGAATAAAATAGAAGTGAATGTGGATCTATTGCAAGCTGTGGACAGCATTTCCCTGACCTACTGTGTTTTTCGGACAAGTCTTTTTTTTTTTTCCATTCAACGGGTCGAGGGATTCTAGTTATATTATCCCATATTAAATTAAAAAGAAAAATGTTTCCATAGTTAGAAGCGAAGTTTCAAACCCAACTGGAACTTGTTCACTGCTGTCAACGTGGGGTACAATTGAAAATTGACACTGACGCCCTAATACCACTCAGATTGTTTGTGTTCGGAGATGAAGAGTGCGCTCCCCTCCCATTCATTTTTGACAACAGCCTATGTTACAAACAAATTAGCAGATAGTGCTTGAACTGTTCCTGTCAGTACCACCTGGGGCACTGGGCTCTGGCACTCCTCTTTGGGGTCACTCTGAATAACTGAATGGCACATTTGAACAAGACTCTGAGGTTCCAAACGGTCGGTGTGAAGCGGTACGCGCTCAGAGCATATTTCCGAATACACCCACGATTTGGGAACGGGGGTTTTAGGTGCAGGTCCGAGCTCTACTATCCTTGGTCTTGGTTTTTGAAAAATTAATTTCCCCCAAAAATATCACTTATGCGCTGAAGCGAATTATATTCCGAAAAATACGGTAATAGGTTTAAAAGATGTATGCAGATCTCATGTAATCTACTGTGTATTCAGGTTTCTTGAAAAGTGGGGGTTTTTTACGAGTCCAAACAAAGGCTTCTTTTTCCGCTTTATCTTCTGAGAAAGTATGTTTACATGGCAAGACACGTCTTGTTTGTCTTCTCAAGCAGATAAGCGCTGACTGCACGGTACAGTCACAGCGCACATGACTCACAGTGTATTCCTGCAGCACAACGAAGTAGCTCCGGTTAATCATTTATGTTGGCTGTATGTGTAACAGTAAGGACTAATGACCTTCTCACTGGAATGATCGACAGATTGTTTGCCCCCGGGACATGTGGGGGAGCTGAAGCATGTCGACTAAACTTTAAAAGCGATCTGATCCGAGGACAACAGCCGACTGCTATGGGAGGAATAATGGGAGTTATATACCAGACAAAAGTATTTGGACAAATGGTCATTTTGCCGAAAGGAACTGAAAATGGAAGAACAAATGAATGCTGTTAAGTGATAATGAATTGATTCATTTGCTCACCGCTTTGGTCCTTGTCTTTGACACATGTGCTGCTGGCCAACTTTTCCTCATCAGTAGCATGGTCGCCATGATCATCCTTTATCAAGACCAAACACGATCAGTAATGCAAAATGAATACAACCTTGTGATGTTGCGACGAAGCACAGCCATGCTCACCTGCCCACTGAGCTCCTTCTGCATCGGCTGCTCCGGCTTTACTTTACTCGAGTTGCTGAACGTTAACATTGACAAAAGCAAAGTGAATTTGAAAAAAAGAACATTACCTTGGACATAAAAGATGACAGGAAATGGCAATTTCTCACATGCTATGTGCTCGAGTGAAAAACCCTGATCGTTTGATGGAATGACAAGCCATTATAAACGCATAAGTTTAATAAATGGATAAAAAGAAAAATTTTAATCAAAGTGAACACATTCTTAATCTCTTCAAGATATAAGAAATTTTCATTTGTGAATTTTAGGCCGGCAAGATTCCCATTGCCTGCAATATTTTTAATAAAACTATCCATCCGTCCATCCATTTTCTGAAACGCTTATCCTCACTGTGATCGCGGGCGTGCTGGCGCTTCATAACTACTGTAGTTATTTTAATATTATGGGACAAATATTAATTGCAACATTTTAGAAATACATTTTACCTGAGTTTAGACATGGCTTTCTAAACGCCAGAAATGATAATATTCATAAAAGTGGTTTTAAAAATGCTCTGTAAAATAAATTTAGATTAAATTGACTCAACCTGTTGAGTGGCTCCCTCTTGTGGTGGGATTATGTAGTGTAAATGTGAACTTGACTTTTCTATCCTATTTCTGCATCGTGCCTTTCACGAACATACATACGCAGAATTGTGACACCACTTCAAATAGTGATTTGTCTGATGGGGAGGCCAATTTCGTTTTTGTTTAAAATAGGCACAACACAATCAAACCACAAGAGGGAGAAAATTTACATTCTACACGTTAACAGCCAAGCACGAAAGACGTGTCAAGGCCACTGAAACGCCACCATAGGATTAACGTATAAATCGACAGTAATTATTTACAATAAATACAAAGCCCTCTCAATTATAATATAATATTTTATAAAACATTTAATGTGTCACTCGTTATAATCATCTTCAGTCTTTTGGAATCAGATTCAATCCTGCGGGAAGGCATTTGGAGCATTGTGAAGAATTTTGCCACACCAAATAAGCAGTTGCCCCTTAACACTCGATAAACTTGCAGGACACTTAATTACCTACACCCACACAATCAAAAGTTCTGCTTTCACATAGATAATGCCCAATCTCCATATAGTTACAATTTTGTTGTTGTGGCTGTACTTTACAAATGTAATGCATTGCAGTGACGGATGTTTTTAAAATTCCCTGCCGCCATGAAAGCAGAATATTTTCAAAATTCAACAACTGTATTAAAGTAGTCACTGACAGCAAAGAGGTTTACTTGCCTGACTTGCATGTGGGCAGCCTACATTCAGTTCCCACTCAGTGATGGTATGACTGAGTGTGGATCCTCTCTCTCAATAATGCATGTGAGTTTGCTGTTTGCCCAAATAAAGTTGGGATGGACACAAGGGGCCTATGTATACATATGTCAAGACTGCACACAAAAAAAATCAATTTTTTTGAATCTGTGCGTTACGCAGGAAATCAACCACATTCCTTTCATAAATGTCAATCAATGTCAAATTGACCGCACATGTTCAAGTACTAGGCTCTCTCTCCACGCCCCCAAATAAATGTACAAATATGGAACAGGGCCTGCTGGTGGGAATTCCTCACTTTGCATGATCAGATAATGTGATGATCAAGCCATGAGTCACAAATCAAAAAAGAGGAACTGAACAAAATGCAGGCTGGAGACGCTGATAATTAAGTCGAGACCAAGAGCTACTTATTTTGTCACGCTGTCCTCTGGAGTCAACAACAAGCAAAAGAGAACATCCACTCATCCAATTACAAACACCTGCGCATGTTAATTGCTCATCTGAGTATCTCTCATGTGCACGTCACCCTGAGAAATGACCTTTTACAGTTTTTAGCTTCCCACTTATGGATAAGCGGTTTGGAAAATGGATGGATGGAAAATTTAAATGTTATCGTCTAATTACAATATACATGTCAGCACTCTTGACACAAGGCACACGGAAGGTGCAGTTTTATTCCCTGTAGTTCAGGGGTCGGCAACCCGTGGCTCCGGAGCAGCATGTGGCGCTTTAGCACCCCCTGGTGGTTCCCTGGAGCTTTTTAAAAATGTTTGAAAATGGAAAAAGATGGGGGAGTGAAAATATATTTTTTGTTTGAATATGGTCTCTGTAGGAGGATAAACATTCTTAACATTTTCCAATGCTGTAAAAATGTGTCGAATAAATATTACATTTCAACATTTCTGTCAACGAAGATTTGCGTCATAGCTTGCAACACACGTTTCTATTAGCAGGGCGGGATGCCCGGCAGGTGGCTGTTGTAAGAAGAAACGGCATTTCATGTCCAATTCATCGAGGGAACTGGCAAAGAATGACAATCTGAAGGTCCGAGAGAAGCATTTTAAAACGGTACACGTCAGCTAGGCTCATTGTGTATTTGTAGCCAACTTAGCTAATATAGCTACATACAGCGTGTGTTGCCTTCTTTCTAAGGCTTTTAATTTGTTGCGGCTCCAGACACATTTGTTCTTCGTTTTTTCGGTCCAATATGGCTCTTTCAACATTTTGGTTTGCTGACCCCTGCTCTAGTTCATGGGTGTCCAAACTCGGGGGAGCTGGATGGATGTTGTTCTAATTCTTGTTTGATGGTGCAAGTGTATGAGCTGCTGGAACTGACACGCGTTCAGAGGTACACAAAAAGCAAACACACACTTTGATGAGCTCAGGTTCACTGCACACAATAACGTGCATTCTTGCGTGTTCCCTTCAGCCATTAGAGACAAAGCTGTGTTTGTTCAACTTGAAAATGTGAGTCACAGTCCAGCTGGAGGACTCGACAGTAACTGGAAGTTGGTACAATGGGAACATTTCTATTTTACTCACGTAATAATGCTTCCCTCCTGGTAGCAGGCAGGTTTTGCACAATCGAAGTTCACATTGCCATTGAGCAAGTCGTGATGCACGGAGAGGTCATGGCTGGGGGCCAGGTTTGAGTCGGGGCTCAGGTTAGAGATCACGGGCGCCTCATCATCCACCTCCGAAGGATCCGGTGTGTTCAGCGGGGAGTGGACCGGTAGAGATGGAGGTCGCTGCGCTGGTGATGCGGTGTCTGGATGGCATGAGGTCTTGGGTGTTAAAGTCAGATTGAGGTTCTGGTTCAGGCCAAGGCTGTTGTTGTTGGGGGATGAGCCAGTCAGGTTGTTGAGGGCGTCAACCTCATCCTGAATAGAATTCTCGTCGACAACTTGGTCTACAGCAAAGAGAGAAAAACAGTTCTTATGTAACATGTTTTACACCCACTGTCCACTTCATCGCTGCACTGCATCACAGTGGCAGATATTTACAACATTATGTTTTATCACTACTTCTCTGACTCTCAATCAATAATGCTGAAAAACTAAGCATTATTATTTTTGAAAAGCTTTTGAATAGGATTTAGGCAGATGTTCCGAACATTATGGTCATTGATGTGCAAACCACATAATTGTCCACTTGTCCTTGGTTATATAATGCTTTTATTTGTCATCCTGGCATTTGACCCGTAAGTGGTGACGCTCCCTTCTCCTGTTAGAACACTTAAAATGGCTGCAGGCTTCCTCGCATATAACCCTCACATCCTGTTAACGGCAAGCTAACGACCACAGCAGACCGACCTCACTTGAGTCATACTTCTCATTTGCGGAGCACAGAAACTATGGTAAAAATACTCCCCTTCACACACACAGACAGAACGTGAAGAGCATACACTTTGTATGAGAATAAAAGAACAATCTGTCACACTCAGCCTGAGTGAGTAACATTCAGCATCTTACAGTAGAAGGTTCCTTAATATGCGACTTTATGTGCAGCCCAGAATCGGCGCTCTCTCAGGCACTCGCGCCCTTTTGAGAGGGAACAGCTGTTGTGAGGAGCCCCACCTAGTCAGACAGAGTTCACGGCACCATGTGGCCGAGCAACGTCAACAACAGGCTTTTATTGCCTTTTCTTAGATAATTGAAGAAGGAGACAAGAAAACAAGGCAGTGCGAAATAAGAACAGAATGTTTCCATATCAATAAAAACAATCACATGTACCCTCGGAGGCATCAGAGTAATAATTATAGTACGCACGTATTTCTTAATAAAGACAACCTTGTTCATCAGTGTAGTGCATTTTGAAGTGCATGTGACAGAAAAGCGGGCTGTTTGTTCGGTCAGACTTGACAGATTGATTTTATGACCTGATAAGTGTGGTCAGTTTCTACAAATATATTGAAAAGCCGACTATAATTTATCTGAACAGTATTTCCTTTGTCATTCTAGTCTTTCAATAGTGGAATTGTCTTTTTACACTGAAGAGAGTTAAATACGAACACTCATCATACACCTCATTAGGTACAGCTTCCTAATCAAAGATACTGTATCAATTCAAATAATGGCCAATGCTCAGGTCGGCGCCATGCCCGAATCATTCGGCGGGTGCGTCACCCACTTTATTAGCATATGTTGAATCAATGCCTAATTTTATCCCCTTCATGAAATTGTTTACTAGGACTGGTACCACTTCAAAACGGATCGCAGATCTGACATGGCATCTGTAAAGCTGTTACACTGATATTTAAAATGCAGTGATGACGTATTCAGCGTCGAACATTCTAGGAACAAAAATATACAGTATATGGTGCCTAATTTTATCCCCTTCATGAAATTGTTTACTAGGACTGGTACCACTTCAAAACGGATCGCAGATCTGACATGGCATCTGTAAAGCTGTTACACTGATATTTAAAATGCAGTGATGACGTATTCAGCGTCGAACATTCTAGGAACAAAAATATACAGTATATGGTTAAGTAAGCTAACAATTATGGCGCCACAGTGAAATAGTGGTTAGCATGTGTGCCACACAGCCAAGTGATTTTTGATCAGCTCAGGTCCTTCTATCCGGTACTTTAGCTTCCACCCACGTTCCAAAAACATGCATGCTGGCTTCACTTAAGACTCTCAAAAACAGATATTAAACCCGAGGCACGGGGGAGAGATCCGGCCTACCACATCATTTTATGCGGCCCGCAAAAGCAAATCAAGTGGGTCAACTTCCATGACCCTTGACATGAGTATTCAAAAATAACGTTGAGGTTTTGCAAGAATTTTTTGCGACGCTTTTTACAGTAACTTGAACAATCGTTGACTCTGATTTCAAAACTAGTAATCCACCCCTATGTTGTTTATTATGTAAGACAATTACCGGTAACTAATTGTTTGTTTTCACCGTCATAACGGCCCTCTGAGGGAAGCCGTGACGGCAAAGCGGTGTGACTGTGAGTGTAAATGTTTGGCTGTTGGTTGTTGTCGTTTCTCGAAACGTGCTCTACGATTGGCTTCCGGGCAGTACAGCATGTAGCCATGTACCCTCTCTTGTAGGTGGGTACCAGTAGGTTGGTCAGTATTTACTGGGTAGGTCTATAGAAGCAGGTATTTAATTTTTATTTATTTTTTTTTTCAAAAAGATCAAATATTTTTCAATATTTTAAAAACGTATTTGGTACATATAATGGTTTCACCATAATAAACATCTTTCTTTTAATAGATTAACGGTACTCTCTAAGTTAAAGTAAAAAAAAGTGGAAGAATTCAAATGAAGTCACACTGAGAAGTGATGTAATACGGTACTTTTAAATAATCAAATGGTTTATTCATTAGATGTTGTGTAAATAGCCATCAGATTGAGTTGCGTTTTCAAAGCACTTTGTGGGGAAAGCAACAATAAAAACAAATGTTCCATTTGGCTGAATAATAACAATGTAGATAAAATACAGAGATAAGTTTCACAAGAATGTGTGTTAAGAGAAGCGGAATAATTACCTGTATGCGCGGAGTTGTCCAGCTGACTCAGCAGTTTCACAACACCTGGAGACTCTGCCTCTGGGGTCTCGTAGGTCCCTTCAGAGTCTGAACTATAAAGAGAAATGACCTTTTATTTGCTGTGGCATGTTGGTCGTGTGATATAGAAAGGAACAAATCGATCATTCATAACAGAACTGTGCAGAAGCCGTAGGCCATAGATAATGACATTCTGACAATATTTCTTGCCACCAAAAATGGTTGCACATGTATCAAGCAGGCCGGGAAAGTCACCTCTGAAACATTCGTAAGATGTAAGGAACATACAGTAAATGTAGAACCTAAGTTTTTGATGCTAGTATCTTTCCTTCTGTTGACCTTTTGTAACTCAACAAAACTCCCCCCCCCAAAAAAAAATAAATAAATCTGAAGGTTATAGCCGAAAAAGACATTCAGTACACTTTCTTGATTAAGAGAGTGTTGGGCCGTGGCTTTCAAGGTTTTCTTGGAATAACAAAAAAAAAAACAATAGAAAGGGGAATTCAAAATAAGTCGATTTAATTTCAAGGGAAGTCAGAGGGAGTGGGGGGTAAGGAAATAGAGCCAAGGGTCCATCCTTTACCCCTCAATAAGGATATTCACACACACACACACACACACACACACACAAAAAAAACACTTCCTGTCTTTTGGCTGTCTCAACAGTGGTGGGTGTAGAAAGGAAGGGAGTGAAAGAGTTGAGAGTCGATGTGGGAAAACGCAATTGTGCCCACGCATGAAAATACATCAAAACACCCACACACTAATGAAAAACAGTTCTCGAAGCAGAGCTGCCACAGCCAAACCCAACCACACTCTTGATACAAACTTGCACCTTCGACAGCTAACTTTAATATACGTACACCAGCCTCACATCCAATATACACAAACACATTTTCTCTCTCTCGCTCTCTCACACGCACACATCCCTGTCCCCCACCCCTCTCTGACACACACACACACACACACACGCACACACACACACACACACAAATTGGAGCCTATCCCAGTGATGGCCCCAATGGTTGCGATCTTGGATGGTTACTTAGAAACTAGAAGTGGATTGAGGGGGACTAAAGGATTGGAAAATTGCGGTTCTCCCTCAACCATCCCCCAACTTTCTGCAATCAAAGAGAGACTGCACAGCTCTCCCTTTATACACTTAATAACAGAGTCTGTCACATCCACTTTAATTTAAAATTAGTTACCACACGTAAAGTTGAGTATGATAAAACAGCAATTTACAAATTAAGATAATCATGATTCTAAAGTAAAATCTTGGGTTGCAAATAATCTGCTTTTAACCGTCAGCATCCGCGTGGGAGTGCTTTTGTATGTGCATCCACCTGTCAAGCAGACTAAGGCATCACGTTAACACAAAGTCCAAATGAGACGTCCTTCCCCAGCAGGCGGACCTGTAGCCCACCCGCCTTTATTTTTACTTTGTGTCATCCCAACTGCAAGTATGAGTCTCTTACTTGTCATCATTGTGCCCGTCATCTCCTGAGCCCCCCGTCACCGCTGACCAAGTCCATTTGGCCCACTGCACCGGAGACAACCAGGACATCGCTGCACAAGGTTGCGAGTTAAAAAAAACAACCCAAAAACAATCTGCTGCTGCGACTGCCTCTGAGGTTCCTCTTCCTTCTCGTTTGGTTTTAAGTCTTTCTTCCGCTTTCGAACAAGGCGGCTTCTAAAAATAAACTGTCGTTGATGCTTTCGCCCCTCCAAATGTGTCAATTCCTCTCCGGTCTTCCCATCCCGTGCAGGGAAAGGGTGTCCTCCTTTCCCCACTGCAGCTGCTGTTTCGGTCGTCCGCTTTTTGCTCTGTGATGCAGATTAGTGGAGCATCAGTGATCACTCCTCCCCTCCCTGCCTTCCCTCCTCTAAAGGAATGATCAGCTGGTCAAACAGACGCGGCTTGCTCTGTTGCTCCCTCATGTTTGCATGACTTCCTCGGGAGTCGGCCTCTCCCTTCCTCGTGGTGCCTCCTCCCCTCCTTGTGAAGGACGAGAGGCAAAGCTTCCTGTTTTATGAGGCCATGAGACGACCGACTCGGGTTACTCCGGGACAGATGACCAAACAGGATGGAAAAGACGTAAAATCTATGTTTATGCGACAAATGCTCTTGTGTGCCTTTGTGGGCGCCTACATTTTTAATACGATACAAATCCACTGCACTCTCAAGCTCCAGTGAGAGAAGTTCTGTTTTTATTTATTCTGCCACAAGTGAAAACAGTATATAATACGGTGTTGTGTGGCCGCTTGGGAGAAAATCTCACCAATGCCTTTCATCGGATGAAAACAGTTATGTAATATAGCTGTGAATGCTGTGAAATAGAAAAATGTTGGCCTTTTTCAACACGCTAATCAAAGGTGAAATCATAATCGGAAAAGCAACGATGTCACTGTGATGTCATGACATCGCCAACCTGACAAAACATCCAATAACATTTCTGTGATGTCATCCGTATAGTGCTCATGGCCTCTATAGGGCTGCGATTCCCAACCATGGTGCCGTGAAAAATCACCAGGTGTGACACTTGACGCCCCTGCCGCAAGCAGAAGACACTGGCTTGCCTTGGCTCGTTCAATCCCTGAGCTAAAGCCCTGGTTGTCAGGGTAGTGAAACCCATAGTCGCCCCAGCAGGAAAGTAGTGGATATGTGTTGGGGTGGATCAAGAATGAATACAATTATTTTGGTGTAATGGGGGTGGATTGTGGAATTTATTACTATTGACCATTACAGTCCACTTGCATTGGGGTTAAAAAAAGACACCGAAATCTATGGGCTACCGGTCGATCACGATTGACTGGTTGGGCACCGGTGCAGTGGAACTTTCATTTAACAGACATGGAACCAGTGGACCCCATATTTTAATGGACAGAAAATAGTGTCCAGTGTAGTCAAAGTCTGTTGGTTCCAAAATTGGGCACCTTTTTTTTTTTTTTTTTTACTGTATTGAGTGTTTGTTAGGCCATGGAAAAAATATTTCAATTTAACGGACAGTCTAACCCAGTGGTGTCAAACATACGGCCCGCGGGCCGGAACCGGCCCGCAAGGAGGTTCAATCAGGCCCGCAGGATAATTTAAAAGTGAAAAAAATGCATTAAAGACACAGAATTAATATTTTTAATAAGGTGCAATTCATAGAGTATCCGCAAGGGGACACTGTTTTGATCAGAGAAGAAGACAACAGCAGCCTCAGTCCGTCACTGAGACAGACCGATGACAGCAGACGCTATCAATAGCACTCTCACATTTACACATTTAATAGCACTCTCCTTAGTTTGTAAGGTGTAGGCAGGGATTACATTTAGATTTTATATGCATGTGTAAATGGTTTAAAACTTCCTTTCTTTATAAATCTCGTTTAATTTTAAAGTGCATTACTGTATTTTTCAATACCAATTACTTGTTAAAAGTTTGTACAATCAGTGGGATCAGTTGCAATGCATATATGTGAATGATAAAAGTAAATTGCACATTTGTCGAAGGAAATGTAAGGTGCTTCATGAAATGTTTTGTAAAAGATATGTCATTAAATTTCAACATTTTCCTAATGTTCTTGTGCTTCTTTATACCAAAACAAAGGAAAGACATATTGTTTTGGTTATTCATAGCAAAGTATGGTATAATTTTAATGGTCCGGCCCACTTGACATCTACCGAGGCCGTATGTGGCCCCCCATGTGAAATGAGTTTGACACCCCTGGTCTAACCGGATGTGAAATCGAGGCGCCACTTAAAATGGAGGTGTGGTTAAAAAAATTGTTGCGTGTGCAGCACCACCACCTACAGGAATGGATTGGAACTATATCATCCACCATGTCATAACTTCACATAGCCAATGTTCATATTGTTTCATTACAATTCAAAAGTAAAACAATTAAATCACTTGCTTCATGATTATTATTTGCATGTTCCATACTCTTCTAACTTTTCCAAGTGTGGTCTGTCTGCTGTCTGTTCTGTGAACGGCTAACGAAGTCCTTTAGTTCTTCACTGATGTGCAGAAAACGGCCACAGAGGGTCTATTGTCTACATCTAGGGCAGACAGCAAGCATGTCAATGTCAATAAAGCAAACCAACATTCAACAATAACAGTGCGTCACATTGACAAAATCTTTCCTGCCTGCTCACTCATACTGATCATAGCTCACTTATGTAAGTGGCTGGGCAGCTTTTGCGTGTTTGCATCAACCGCGCGCGCGCACGCACACTCACAGAAACTGGGGCAGATGAAACACGCTCTTTGAAAAATAAATAACCCACTAACAAGAGGGAGGCTCAAAATGTTTACAGCGTGAACAGGAACAAAGATTTCTTCGCTGTTAACAGCATAAGTAAATATGAGACATGTATTCAAAATTAGGAAGATGAGGTAGGTTAGCACACAGTTATATTTGTGTGCCAACATTCTCATAAATAACGTGTCACACTGGTCAAGATCAATTTCTGATAGAATGTAATTGCACAGATTGGGATTATTCCCCACACCGAAAGTGAGGCAAATACGGAATACAAATTCTTGACATTGTCGCCTTTCTCTTTTTTTTTTCATTATGTCAGTCATGACAGCTGAGAAGACAAACCTGTCTGTCTTGAACAGGACATGCTGACAAAACGGACCAGTGTGAATGTGCTTTGCTCGTATAACCATACCTATGGACACACAAACCTATCAATTTACACACGCACAGCAAGCATAATGGATTGTTCTGCTTTATTCCAAGCTAAAAACGGCAATAAATGATGGGAGGCAGCAAAGCAGCTCTTATGTAATACCATAACACCACAAAAAAACCCCACAATCATTCATACTCTATATTCTGTAACAGAAAAACTGTATACTGTACAGTAAATATGAGACCCACGCGGTCACGTGTACCACATAATCCAGCAAGAATGCCCATCCTTAATCATCCATTCCACCGTGACTGAAAGCACCATGTGTGCTTATTTTGAGCTATTAAAGCAGCACTGATGGACGGGTTAGTCACTGCAGAGATGGATGTGTGTGTGTGTGTGTGTGTGTGTGGCTCATGAGTACGTAGCTCAGGCCCTGGTTACAGGATCACGGTATCAGTAAGAATGTGGAACCATATTATTTTTTTCTGATTTCAAAAAGTCAACACTGATCAGAATAATCATAAAACACCTTAAGAGTGTTTTAGAAATATGCTTGAACGACTCAAGCGAAGACAAGCGCAACAGAGAGTGAATTGATGTATTGACTATCAAGCATTGCAGTATGCTGCTATCTAGTGGCCTTTCATTTTAACTACTTGTATCAGCATGAAGGTAAATATTCAGAATACATTAAAAATAAATTAGGAAGAAGGTGGAAAGGGTGGCGACGAAGAGATGGGGAAACAAACATTAACTTTACTTGAATTAGCCTACATTCATTTCGTCAGATGTGTGAGAGTAAACAGGAAGTTTGCCATGACAGTTAATATAGCTCGGGAAAAAGGTCCCACACAACTATTCCCTATAAAAACACATTTTATCTAGTTCAGATTCACTGTACAGTATACCTCAAAGCTACTTGAGAGGAAGTGATGTCAAAAACTGTGACATTTGACCACCAAAGAGAAGGAGGGAGGGCTCCAGTAGAGAAAGGCACCAACTGAGCTTTTGTTTTTGACTACAACAGCGAAAGCAGAGTACACAATTCCCAGACAATCCTGCATGTGCTTTGCGTACACTTCCATGCACAAAGCAGACGGGCAACACACTTCCTGTCATGGTGTCATACTAGGCTTCTACATTTAGCTCAGGAAATTCATTTGTATTCGAGATTTTGGTGAATATTTGACAACACTGAGAAATCAACATCTCAATCAGAACACTGTCGAAGAACACTGCGCCATAAGTATACATTAGTGTGTTTCATTTTCACCTCTGCAAACTTCATCAGTGTATAAAAATGCATAATTCAACCATCGTGTTTGTTCTCATGCATTCATAATGTACGTTTTTAGGTCACAGCATAGTTACCCTCGCTGCTGAAATAAATTAAATCTAGGTCAGTTCCCTTTGAAATACAAGTTATTCTGCGTTATATATAAAAACACGCCTGCTTCTTCATGACTGAACCCACTGACCAAATAGTATGTTACATAATGCCTTAAAATATACATTAATACATGTCACAGAAGAGTGAACATGCGGGTTTTAGACTTAAAAGCACTCCTGGGAATAAGCGCTGTGAGAATGAGCTGTGTTGGGACAAAGCGAAAGTATACTCACTGTCCATTATGAAGGATTAAAACAAATAGCGAGTACAGTGCATTGGTGCTTTTATAACCATGCACATCACAACATATAAAACAGAATCAATCATACGTTCACACAGAAATAAACCTAACATGTATGATTAAAAGTCATCTGCATATTTCATCGCCAGTGGCAGCAGTTTTGTTTTGTTTTGTTTGTTTTTTTGCACAAACTCGAAAAGAGAATAAATCGGAAGGTGTTTTAATGCGGAGAGCGTGACAGTCAGGCCGAATGTGACTTTGGTTCCTCTGCTCATGCCTTGTGACGAACTCAAAACAGTCATCGGACATCTGCCGCTCCCGCTGTATCAATTGCATCCTCCCATGACTCAGCTCTTCCTGCGCATCCTCATCAAGCTCACACAACGAAATAATGGAGGCTCTTACATGCTGTTTTTCTTGCGAGGTGAAGCCTTCCCGTGCTGGCTGAGGGAGCCCCCCATGACTTCCAAAAAAAGACTCTGCTGGATTCTGGACGTATTCCCAAAATTCCAAGTCCTCAGTTCGGCTCTCCTCCAGAAAAATCAGAAGTCTTTGAGGTTCTGTTTTGTCACTTCAGCTCACGTGACCACTCCTTGTCTGGATGTTCCATACAGATCACACATAAACACTCGTGACAGTCCCGCCTCCTCACTGCCTCACTTATTATCCTCATCCTCTCTCTCTTTTCTCTCTCCCACTGGGGCAGATTACAGTCGCTCGGAAGAAAAGGCATAGAGGCGGTGTGCATGTGAGGAGGGGGACTAGGGATGGGGTATGGGGAGGGGGGGGTGATTGTCCCAAAAAGAAAGACACTCCTCTATTGTTAGGCAGCTGCAAATGAGACTCAGGGTGCAGGGGGAGGGCAGGGCTGGTTGTTATGCCACCCCGCTGCTCACTACCTGTTGGGATTTTTGAGATACACAATAATCCCAGAGATTGACATAGCCTCAGTCACAAATCTGTAAAAAAAACGGAGATTTTGTTGTAGGGGAGTGAAAGACAAACTTGTCTTTTGTCAAAGTAAACCGCAGTGAACTAACCTCAATTCACGACAAGAAGCAGTTTGGCAGAAAAAAAAAACGCTTCCAGATGTTTCATGTCTCTCCAAATTGAAGTTTACAAGCAAACTATACATCAAACAAGGAGAATGACATGTTGCGTATTAAAACACAGACCTGCAGCTTTAAGGGAAGGGAAAGAGTTTCCATGTCTCTTCAAAGGGATGATAGAATTGAAAGGGTTGAAAGAGAGTAGCTAGCTAGCTACTTATTCTGCAAACAATTTGTTTTGTTGAGGAGGGTAGCGTCACACGCCTTATCACATATCAACTTCAGCCGTGCGGCCAATTGCATTTCATTTTAATATGTTTATTTGCGTCCAAATAAAAATGCTGACATAACCATGGAATGCAAGACATTAGTATTTTATTATGGCACACAAAAGAGGTATAAACAGGTATTAATTTTGTGCGCATCGCCATCATCACCAAGGGCGCATGGCTTAAGCAGAGATGTCAAGTATATAATACATGTTCAGTGCTTCTTTGGAGAGTGTAACACAAAGAGATGATGCGTGGTGCAAAAACTCGAGAGAAACCTTTAACTAGTATAGTTGAAAGAGTCCAGTCAACAAGGTAGCTGGGAGAGGGCGAACAACAAAGTTATCTGAACATGAGTAAAAACTCGAGTTACCTTGGACTATCTTAACATTTTGATTAATGTTGATTAAGCTCTTGTCTATGACAATATGACAACGCGGCAACTACGCTACTTCTGCACATAGATGTGAAAAGTGAATAAACCGCAGGGGGAATGTTGAGATGATCAAACAACTGTTTTGCTGTACATACAGAGGCAAATTCTTCCTTCTACAATCCCTTGATACACAGGAGTGCAGAAGAGAAAGGTTGAATTTGGCCCTTGGCATGTTCAAACAGAGTTCTGCAAACATATCTTCCCATGTTGTTATGATATTGTACTATATTTTAAGAGCAAAAATCTAAAATGGATAGATTTGAGTTCTGCAAACATATCTTCCCATGCTGTTATGATATTGTACTACCGTATATTTTAAGAGCAAAAATCTAAAATGGATAGATTTACGATGAAATGCTTCACAAACCCTCGTGTGAATATGATGAAAGTGAAATAACAGAAGAACGCTCGAATGGAAAAGGGGTCATGGCTGCATGTTAGGGAAAATTGCACATTGTAGAATCAGCAGCTTTTGGTTTCTTTGGGTGAACAGGAAGAGAATTTTGGAAAAGACACAGCAAAACTTCCACTTACTGAATATACAAAAAAAACAATTTCAGTCAACCAAAACAAAATACAATTCTTATTTATAAAGCTAAGAAGATAAGGGAGTGCTCCCTTCAACACTTTCTACTGTATTATAAATTGCACTTGAGCAATTGAACATGTTTTTTTTTTTTTAATACTAACAGAGGTGGCTAATCCAAGTGCAGAAAGTAAAAACTCTGCCAAACTTGGTGCTTTGACTCAACAGGCAGGTAAACAAGCCCGGTAGCTCTGAACCTGGATTTTCCACCTCTGATACTGAAATTCTGGTCATAGTGAAGTAAAATCTTCCGCATCATCTAGTAAGAGTTGTGCGTTTAATATATTGATATAACGATGAAAAGTGCAAGGTAAGGAAAAGTAGACAAGAAAAGTGCAACACATAGCATGAGATGAGAATCAATAAGTGAACTCAAACCCAGCTTGGGAGATGACTGAAATCGCGATTGACATCTCTGGCCAGAGATCACTTGACCAAAAGACATTCTGGAGGAAGATTGCACAACCTCTGCTAACTGTCCTTCTCGGACACACTCTCAGGTTTCCTGAAGTGGATTTTATTTAGGAAACTCTAATTACGGTTGAGTCTGTTCCAATGTTACATCCAATTTGTCGTAAATCTCCTTAAGCAGCAACAGAGCAGCATCCTCGGATTCCCTGACAGGCAAAAAGTCAAAAAGAAACGTCTTACATGAAAAAGTAAGAAATTTAAGGACAGTTGAAGCAGGCGGCTCTTCTGAATATCAAAGTATGACTTACCAATAGCAAAGGTGTGACTGAATGGCAAACAAATATTCATTGAAGCTTTCTATTGGTTTTTCCTGAAGCACATAGTCAATCCGTCGCCCTCCGTTCAACATTCCCACTTTTATTTCTGCTTGCTCTGCCTGCTGTGGCTGCTCTGTTGATCCTGACAATTCCACGTCCTCGCACTTGCCTGCGGGGACAACAGAAACACGAATTAGATGTCTGCTTATGAGGATGAATCCTTTTGGTGACAAGAAAAGGGTTCTGGAATCTGCTTAAAAAAACCACAAGAAGTCAGCTCAAATTGTTAAAAGTGTCAAAAGTCAGCGAGAATGTGATGGCTAATGTGATATGACTTCCTGGTCTCAAAACAGACATTATTATCATTAATACGTTCAATTATCAGCATCTCTGGTGAGTCTGGTGTCTTATCTTTCCAACTTTTGAAAACCCAACCCGCAACTGACATAATATGACATACATGCATCAAAATGACACCTGCAGAGGGAGCTCCACATCCGCAGTCCTGAACAACAATATTTGGCTAATTAGATAGTGCTGCAGAATTCTTCAGTGGCAGTGTTTATATAACGCAACAATTAGTAACAGAGGAGTGATGCATGGGTTAGGAGCAGGAGGGAGCCAACAGCAGTGAAAAAGCTATAACAGATCACGTTTGACTCTCAGTGACAATAATAATGTGGGAATCCGAAGTAATGACAGTGGAACCTCCAAAGCCGCAAACAAAATTGCTCTCTGACCCTGACTGACATCGAAAGTGTTTCAATTAGACATCATGAAACTTTTATCGTCTTTCCAGGCAAAATTAAGACACAGCCGACTGAACATGTCAATTAATTATGATACGCCCGCTTGGCCAATCATGAGCTGCAGATGATCACATTACATTGCTTGTCCAATCAGTGCTGGGGGAAATTCAGTTCGCTCAGTAGTCAATATATGACTGTCGTAATAGTACGTCGTGTAATTAAAAAAAAAAGTTTTAATACATGCCTTTGTCGAGCAAAAAAAGAAAGTGGTCAGATGAATATGTACAACATGCATCATGGAACGTGATGGGACTCAGCGTCCTTATCAGCATGATTTGGCATGCCAAGTTGAGCAACACTAATCTTGCACCGGCAACACTGCAGGAACACTTCTTTAATCATATTTTTATTTTTTCACTAAGGGTTCAGTGAATGTGCATATGAACTGTTTGGGTTCGGTACCTCCAACAAGGTTAAGAACCACTGCTCTAGTTTTTGTCTTTTTATGTTTCAAATTGAAACGATGAAACGCAGTCTTTCACTACTTTGTTGGCTTTCACTCAACGCAAAACTTTTTTTTTTAGTAAATACTTTTTTTTTTCATGGAAGCTGTGTGACTGCCCTGGCTTACCTTGGAAGTACCGGTAATGCCTATGAAGGGCCCTTGGCCACTCAAATACTTTCATCCAAAAGTCACCCCTTTGATCTTCCCTCTGAGCAGAGGCACAAACTGCAGCCAACGCTGAGGTTCACAGTAAAGTGCAAAGGGGTGCGGAAAGCAGGTGTGAGCACCAGACAGAGTTAGAGACAAACAGGCAGGATGTTGGCAAGCAGAGAGTGAGGAGGAGCGTGAGGACAAGGGGGTTAGACAGACACATGCACGCACGCACACACTTTACATATTTACAGTACATACTGTATATTTCACAATTTACAAAAAAGACATAATTTAAGCCCAACCTACCTGGTGTCTCCTGAAGGTTTCCTTGTGTGACACTGTCTCCTTCGTCTACTGGAGGTAGTGCAGCAACAGGTAGTCTGGAAAGTGACTGCCAAGCTGTCCTTAATGATCCCAGTACATTATTTTTCAAATCTATGCTCATGCGGGTAAAGCTGTCCTTCAGTTCTAGAAGATAAAAATGCAGATCTTCAGGATTCCCAAAGAAAATGTCATGCCACACACAATAGTGTTTGGCACAAATGGGGGGGGGGGGGGGGCCATACCCAAGTGCATCCTCTTGCGGCCTTTATGGTGCGGAATTAACATGGGCTCAAGGTCAACTTCTGAAACAATCATGGGTTCGATCCGGTAAGCTACAGGATCAAACTGCATCACAAAAAAATAGGCATTAGATGATTTAGCGAGTTCATTAAAAAAAAAAGAAAAACGGAATACAATCGGACATTGTTAAACCAACTGAGTGACAGATAAACGTGGCTCTTCGTAAGGAAGGTGTGAATATTTGTTGTTGCGCACCGGGTGATAGATGTTGTAAAAGCTCTTGCAGGTTGGGAAGCTGTAGTTGAGGTCAATGCGTTTCAGTCCGCGGACAGTGAGGAACATTCCAATGGGGGATCCAAACGCAAAAAATGTCTGTGGCTGGAACGCCAGCTGTGGGTAATCAACGGATACCTGGAGAGAGAAGGTTTCATCAGTCTTATCAAACCGCCAAAATGATGGCGGGTTAGACAGATAATACAGCGGGTGCAATAATGCTGAATTCCTTTCAAAAAAAATTGAGACAACTTAGGGAAAGAAAGCGCACGCAAGGAAGAGAGCTAGTCACACATGCAGGACTGGATGAGAACAGAAAGAAGAGGGTGGTTTTTAAATTGAGAGGTACTTCTTGGGTACTGATTAATGCGAAGGTTCTACAACATTCTTAGGCGATCACAATATCCAATCATTGGTGAGCAATTTTTAAAACAGGCCTGCTGTTTACTGATATGCTCCTTAGGAGCTAGGCAGTGCCGGCGAGCATCATATTAAGTGACCCCTGGACTACACTGTTTTTCAATGCTACCACTTGAGACAAACCTGTCCCTTGGCTATCCCTCCACTGGTCTGTCCGGGCAAGCAGGTGGGAGAGAAGCAGGAGGGTGATGCATGAAGGCTGGAGGCAAAGGTAATCGTTTCCATGCATGCATGCGTGGTACCTGTCCGATGCCCATGTTGAAATATTCATAATCTACAGCGCTGGTGCTGGACTGTGTTCTGAGGAACTGGCCCTTTACGACTGCAGATCCCGGAGACTGGTTACCATTGTCTTCACAGCAGTGACCTTGTTGCACTCGAGCCACATGTCCGGCTTTGGAATCCTAAGTGAACATTTTTAAACACATTGTTTTATCGTATTCAGTAATTGGCGCCATCATTTAGAAAAAGCACCTGAAATATATTCAGACAAATCAAATTGAGTTTGAGGAAATGCTGTACAAATGTAAATGATGTTGGAATATACAATACAGCAGATCCGGAAGGCATTCACAGCACTTCACTTTTTCCACATTTTGCTACAGGCTTATTCGTTATCCTTGATGGATAAAAATTGTTTCTCCCGCGAAAAGTGAGGGCTCGCTGTCTACAAGTACTCACAAGCTTTTGTCTGCATTGTCTTTTTGAAAACTAGGGACACACTGAATGTCATTAAATAGCTGTGTCTGACCTCTGAAAAATATTTTCTCCTGACATATTTCAGGATCTTCTTCCGGGGTCCAAGAGGAATTCCTATTTCTTTGAGATCATTTTCTTGACAAAGACCCTAAAGGAAAATAAAGACTTCATTGTGAAAGCTTACACAGGTACTGCATACAAGTATGACTTTTTTGCCTGTGTTTGCGTGTTACCAGTGATTCCAGGTCCAGATTTTCTGCCTTAAATATGGGTGAGTATTGCTGCAGGCCCAGTCGGGTGAGAGCCTGCTCAAGTGTGTCATGGTCCAGATGACAGGGGTTATCAGGCTGCACCTTTAACATAAAGTTGTTGTTTACCAACTCTCTTTTCGGTCCACTTATTGAGAAAGCACTCATCGTAAACACAACTGTACCTCCTCTTTTGCTGATTCTTCTGAACCACATATCTGGTTGGTTAGCAAGTCAAACAGGATCAATGAACCTATTGAAAGAGAGGTAAGTATTAAATGTTTTATGGTTCAAGATGACTTTTAAGTCTATTATTGTATGTCAA